ACTGGAAAGCCATCTGGCCGGAGCCGAGTGCCCTGGCCCCACCTGTGCTGGGAGGGAGCGGTGCTTGGATGCAGCAGGCACTGTGCCTGGCACAGGACCCTTTCCATCCAGGCGGCCCCAGGCCTCTAGACGCCCGTGTCTCCCTTGCAGGGTATCCTCCTGGTATATGACATCACCAACCGCTGGTCCTTTGACGGCATTGACCGGTGGATCAAGGAGATCGATGAGGTAGGTGTGCACCCGCAGATACCCCTTCAGGGTCACCCCAGCTGTACACACTCCCATCCCCAGCAGGAAGCCTGGGGGGCCCCATTTGCTGCCCCCCCCTTGTGGCCCCGGCTCTGTGTCCCCATAGCACTTGATGGTCACAGAATGGACAGTGAGGGCCCTGCCCACTTTGGGGCCTGGGAGACAGTGCCGAGAGGGGGTTGTCCCATGTTTGTGCCCCTCCTAAGTCCTGTGCCCCCCCCCAAGCATGCACCTGGGGTCCCCCGGATCCTGGTTGGGAACCGGCTGCACCTGGCCTTCAAGCGGCAAGTTCCAACAGAGCAGGCGCGTGCCTACGCGGAGAAGAATGGCATGACCTTCTTTGAGGTCAGCCCACTGTGCAACTTCAATGTCATCGAGTCCTTCACTGAGCTGTCCCGCATCGTGCTCATGAGGCACGGCATGGAGAAGATTTGGAGGCCCAACCGAGGTAAGGGGCTGCCCCGGGCTGTGGGCAAGAAAACTGAAACAGACTGGGGCTCCGGCAGCCTGCTCAGGGGCCGGCGTCCCAGGTTGCAGGGGAGGCCAGCTCTCCTCCACTGCTTCCCCGACCCCCTGGCGGCTGATCTGGCTAAGCTGGCTCTGTGTGGGGTCCTGGTGTTCCAGGAGGGGACCGTGCAGGACATCCTGTCTGCACCTCGGTGTTGGGAGGCAGTGCTGTGGACTCTGCCCCAGAGTGGAAAGGGAGCGGCTTCTAAGCCTGCCCTCCTGGAGCTGACCCATAAAGGTCCTGGCTGTATGCTTCCCTGTCCCTCAGCCTGAGCCCTGTCCCACGCGAGCTGCCAGAAGGGCCAGGGTGGCTGGAAGCCTATGTCTCCTGCCAGGACACTGGCAGCTGGGGCGGAGTGGTGGGTGTCCAGGGCAACCCTCTCCATCCCTGCAGTCTGACCTCTGCCTTCCCCCCACCGCGGTCTGACCCCCATGTGCAGTGTTCAGCCTGCAGGACCTCTGCTGTCGGGCCATTGTCTCCTGCACCCCCGTGCACCTCATCGACAAGCTCCCGCTGCCTGTCACCATCAAGAGCCATCTCAAGTCCTTCTCGATGGCCAATGGCATGAATGCTGTCATGATGCACGGGCGCTCCTACTCACTGGCCAGTGGGGCAGGGGGCAGCAGCAACAAGGGCAATAGCCTCAAGAGGTCCAAGTCCATCCGCCCGCCCCAGAGCCCGCCCCAGAACTGCTCAAGGAGCAACTGCAAGATCTCCTAGCGGGCAGGCTGGGCACCACCCTGTCCAGTGCGCTCTGGAAGGGCTTGTGCTTGGGGAACGCTTCTGGCCGGGCGCTGGGCCTGGTGCCGTGTGCAGGGAAGGCTTTGGCCACACCGCCTCCTGGGAAGCGTGGGGGCGCACGGCGCATGGAAGTGGTCTTCCGCCAGACAAGTTCCGTGGGACCGGAGAGAGCTGTGGGGGTCTCGGGGGAGCAAGCCCGGGACCCCACAGTGCGGTGCGTCTGGGAAGTGCCCAGGAGGCGGCTCTGCCTGGCCCCAGCCTCAAGGGGGGGCTGTCTCTGAGGACCCGGGAGGCCTGGCTCCCTTTCTTATTTATATGGAAGATGTTCACCTTTTTGTACATTTTTAAAGGACGGGCAGGGCAGCCTTGACACAGCCTCATGGTGGGCCCCCGTCAGCAGTGGGTTCAGGCTCTGGGACATTTGGAGAGGGGGAGGGGATTTGAGTCAAAGATGAGGAATCCCGGTCAGGGTTTCAACCTTTGAATTCACACACTTCATGTGGGGTGGTGTGGGCTGTGCAGGCGCGGGGAGGACACATGGAAGCTCTGGGCAGTGCACTCGGGCCCATGGCTGCCTCCACCAGCCTTTGTGAACACGGGGGTCAGTGTGCGCCCCGAGATGGCTGGGCGGCAGCTCTGGCCCCCAGTGGTCGGCGTGGTGTGGCCGCAGCTTCCTGGGCTCTCGCCGGCCCTCCTAGACAACATCCTGCGTGTCTCGGGGCTGGGGGCAAGGGCTCCGTTCCCCAGTGGACTGCTGGTGTTTCTCAGACATTCCTGTGTCTCAGGGGAAGGTGCAGAAGATACTCAGTGGGTGTACACCCACCCGCCCCCTCGTCTCCTGAGGCACCTGGACTCTGCCCTCACCAGCTTCTATTTGCCAGCCTCGGGTGTGACCCCACACCCACTCCTTGCCTGGCGTCGGCCCTCATGGTCCCACGTCACCAAAACCGTTCTGACACATCTCTTAGTGACGCTGCCTGGACTGGTCCCAGCGGTGGACCCCGAGCCTCTCCTGGAGACCCCACCAGCCAGCCCTGAGCAGGAGGCCTTGCCTCCTCCTGCCGCCTGCTTGGCGACATGGCCACCGGTCACACTGGTGCTCAGCTCTACCTCCTCCTCACGGCCCTGCCCTGGGCTCTGGGACTCTACATGCTGCGTGTCTGGGAGGCAGGGTGGGGCCCCGGCCTGTGTGTGCAGGGTGTCTGGGGTCCCCGATGAGGCCTGGCCTCAGCAGGCTCAGGCAGGGGAGGCCACACCTGTCCTGCCTTGCCTGCAGGGAGGGGTGGGGGGGGGGCCTTTTTTTGGACTTTGAACCCAGTCACACAGACTGTTTTGAGGACGTGGACAGTCCTACGTTCACTTTATCAACACTACCCTTTGCTGCTGTCTGACACGCCATTCCTGTGCTCAGTTTGGACGGTTTTCCTTTCTTTGTACAGTAAACGTGATTCAGCTCTGATTGCTAGGCTGAGAGCCTCTGGTTTTAACTGGCCAGGTGGTAGGTGTGGCTGGTGCTGGTCCTGGCCGTGAGGGCTGAGCCTGGCTGCCGTGGCCACCTCAGTCCAGGCCACACACAGGGCGCTTCTCCGTGGGCCAGACAGGCAACCCCCCGCACCCCAGAGACCACTACTCTCTGCTCCCTCCGAGGGTGGAAAGTGGGACGCCCTGAGCCCCCTCCCATGTCCGTGTAGGCAGGCCTAACTGTCTGAGGGTGGTGGGCACGGAGCCAGGGATGCAGTGGATGACTTGGGGGCTTCCCACCTGCAGAGACTCAGCACAGCCTCCCGGATCCAGACCAGGGCCTGGGTTGGGAAAGCCACCTGCTGACGGGGTTCAGTCCAAGGGTTTGGTGGCACTGACAGTTGGGGAACTCCTCTGAATGAGCCTCCCCACCCCCCACCCACCGCTCCAGGACCCAGGCCTCTAGCTGCAGCTCTCTGAGGGACTGTCCTGGATCTGGAACCCCCACACCCACGGTCCCCTTGTATGCATTCTTTGCATCTGGGGCCTCTTGGTCTCACTCTGACCAGACAAGGCTTTTATTTCCCTGCCTCCCAGGTCAGAAGGTCAGACGCAGGGCCATGGGACATTTTCCGTCTGGTCTCTGAGCAGATGCTCCTGGGGCCCCAGGCCCCTGGGAAGGGTTTGGAAGGGCAGAGTCCAGCGGCTTTGTCCTGTTGCTGCATTAGATCTCCCTGCCAGGCCTGCCAAGGAGGGGCTTCCATCCCCACCCCACCCCCACCGGAAGGCTCCTCCTCCCAGCGACTGGAGCAGCTCCTCGGAAATTTGCCGTTTCCAGGGTGCTTTTTAGATGACCTTGGCCTCGGGATTGTGTGGGGCCACAGCTACTGAAATTCAAGTCAGCCCAAGTAAACACTCAGTTCCTCGGCCGCAGCAGCCCCGTTTCCAGTGTTTGCTGCCTGAGTGACCGGTGCCAGCCGGCGTGGTTCCCTCCCTGCTGAGTGTCGTGGGACCTCACTTCTTTGGTACCTGCCTTGCCTGGTCGTGGAAGAGCCTGGACCTGGAGCCATGCTGGGGGTGCTCCGGAAATGCAAAGTCCTGCCTTACATTGGCTTCCCCCAACCCCCATCAGCTTCGGGTCCCCGGAGGTCTCCACACTAGCAGAAAGGGTCCCCCCAAGACCTGTTGGCATGTCGTGACCCTGAGAAGGATCATGGAGAAGGTTGTGAGATTTTTTTCCCTGCAAAGGGAGCAGAACACCTCATTAGGGGGTCGAACACAGAGCCCCTGTGCCTATGGAGGTGATGAATCTGGGTAAGGGGCTGGTGTGGACCTGCTGTGGGGGAGATCCAGGCCCTGGGACAGCTGGGGCGGGTTGGGGAGCCAGAGGGGGTTGGCCAGCCCAGCCCAGGCCCCTCCTCTGACCTGGGCTGGGGAGGTCTGAGAGGCTGCTTTGACCCCTGGGCCCTTCCATCCCCAGCCCAGTGCCTAGAGGGAGGAGGGGCTCCAATCACAGCCTCCCCTCCCCTCCCCTCCCCCGCCAGAGCCAGCCCTTCTCTGGCCCTTTTCCGCCCCTCCTGACCCTCGTGGCCACTGTCTTCTGTGCTCCTGGGCCTCAGCCCCTCCCCAGCCCTCCTCCCCTTCCCCCCCCCCCCCGCCCTGTGCTGACCACAGAGGGGCCAGGCAGGGGAGGGGCCGGCGCCACATGCACAGACTCAGAGCTGCGAGAGGCCTGGAACCTATCCAGCCCCTCGCACTGCTGTGGGCTCGGACCTTGGGGGCCAGGGAAGAGCCCCAGGGATCAGTCGGGGGCCTGAGGGCAGGGACAGCGACCGCGGGCCTGGAAAAGTAGATGCTTTAAGGGGCAGGCTAGGCAGGGCCTGAGGAAGGACTGGTGGTCACATCCCCCACCCCCTGGCCCGGCGGTCCCCATGCTGGCCCTGAGGCCACTCCTGCCGCTGCTCCTCGTGGTTGGGCTGACCTTGGGGGCCAGCCTGCCGCCAGGACCCAGAAGCCACTCCGGCGTGTGCCCCAACCAGCTCAGCCCCAACCTTTGGGTGGATGCCCAGAGCACCTGTGAGCGTGAGTGCGTCAGGGACCAGGTAAGCACAGGGCCTGGTTGGGGGTTGGACAATGTGGGGGGCTCAGGCACCTTGGAGGCTGGGTGAGTCTGGGGAAGCCCAGCCCTACCCCTGCACCCAGGCCTTGCCCACAGAGGGGGACCCCAGCAGCTGCACTGTGGCCCCATTCCTGGGAATCTGCTGCCTCCTCAGGCTCCCCACACTCGGCTGCTGGGGTTTTAGGCTGTTCTGTGTATGAGGGTCCCAGCTTTGCCTTCATGTGTCTGAGATTAAGAGCCCCTTCCTCGCTCCCCAAACCTGCCTACCCGCACTCTAGGACCAGTTGTTCTCAGGACCAGGAAGGTCAAAAGGCAGGGAGGTTCACACGTGGACATCTGCCCTGCAGCCCTACCCTGCACCACCTGCAGTGGTCTTGAGCACATTGTACGTGGCCCCCCCCTCACCCCTGCCCTGGGCCTTGGTTTCCTTGTCGGTGTGATGAAACCGGCTCTGTGGGGTGAGGACCTGAGGATTCAGTGAGCTTCAGTGATGTGACACGCTCGACAGGGTCTCATTGTAGTTAGAGCATGGGAAGGAAATTTCTGGAAATGTGTTGGGCTTTCCCCGGGGGGAGACAGGTTCCGGGAAGGGCAGCTGGGGCTCAGCTCCCTCTGAACAAGCTGACAGGCGGAGCTAGGGTGCTCACTGAGCTGCTCCCCACTCCCCAGGACTGTGAGGCCGCCGAGAAGTGCTGTACCAACGTGTGCGGGCTACAGAGCTGTGTGGCGGCGCGCTTCCCTGGCGGCCCAGCGGTGCCCACGCTGCTGGCCTCGTGTGAGGGCTTCACGTGCCCTCAGCAGGGCTCCGACTGCGACATATGGGACGGGCAGCCCGTGTGCCGCTGCCGGGACCGCTGCGAGAAGGAGCCCAGCTTCACCTGTGCCTCGGACGGCCTCACCTACTACAACCGCTGCTACATGGATGCGGAGGCCTGCCTCCGCGGCCTCCGCCTGCACGTGGTGCCCTGCAAGCACGTCCTCAGCTGGGCGCCCAGCAGCCCAGGGCCCCCAGAGCCCACGGCCCGCCCCACACCTGGGGATGCCCCCACGCCGCCTGCCCTCTACAGCAGCCCCGCCCCACAGGCGGTGTTCGTAGGGGGCACCGCCAGCCTCCACTGTGACGTCAGCGGCCGCCCGCCACCCGCCGTGACCTGGGAGAAGCAGAGCGACCAGCGGGAGACGCTGATCATGCGGCCAGACCAGATGTATGGCAACGTGGTGGTCACCAGCATCGGGCAGCTGGTGCTTTACAATGCCCGGCCCGAGGACGCAGGTCTCTACACCTGCACGGCACGCAACGCCGCTGGCCTGCTGCGGGCCGACTTCCCGCTCTCCGTGGTCCGGCGGGAGCCGGTTGGGGCCGGGGCGCCCACGGCCTCTGGCCCGGCCGAGTGCCTGCCTGACCTGCGGGCCTGCAGCAGCACGGCCCCCGGCCTGGTCCTCTGGCACTTTGACCCACAGCGGGGAGGCTGCATGACCTTCCCCGCCTGCAGCTGTGAGGGAGGCGGCCGCGGCTTCGAGACCTACGAGGCATGCCAGCAGGCCTGCGCCCAGGGCCCTGGCGACGCCTGTGCGCTGCCGGCCGTGCAGGGCCGCTGCCAGGGCTGGGAGCCGCGCTGGGCCTACAGCCCGCTGCTGCAGCAGTGTCACCCCTTCGTGTATGGTGGCTGCGAGGGCAATGGCAACAACTTTGAGAGCCGCGCGAGCTGTGAGGACGCCTGCCCTGTGCCGCGCACGCCGCCCTGCCGGGCCTGCCGCCTTCGCAGCAAGCTGGCGCTCAGCCTGTGTCGCAGCGACTTCGCCATCGTGGGGCGGCTCACCGAGGTGCTGGAGGAGCCCGAGCCGGGGGGCGGTGGCATTGCCCGCGTGGCCCTGGACGAGGTGCTCAAGGACGACAAGATGGGCCTTAGGTTCTTGGGCACCAAGTACCTGGAGGTGACGCTGAGCGGCATGGACTGGACCTGCCCCTGCCCCAACGTGACAGCCGGTGACGGCCCGCTGGTTATCATGGGTGAGGTGCGAGACGGCGTGGCTGTGCTGGATGCTGGCAGCTATGTCCGCGCTGCGAGCGAGAAGCGTGTCAAGAAGATCTGGGAGCTGCTCGAGAAGAAGGCCTGCGAGCTGCTGAACCGCTTCCAGGACTAACCCCGCCCGCCCTGCCTTCCTGTACCGCTGAATAAAAGTCAGGGCTTCCCCAGACCTCGGTGGCCTATAGGTGCTGGACCTCCTGGGGGGCCCTCAGCTGGTGTCCTGCTAGCACACTGGAGCATGGGCTCCAGTCCCAGTTCCGTCCTTGGGAACCTGCGGTTTCCCTGCAGCAGCACAAGCCTCTTGGGGCAGGAGAGCCCAGCAGCTGGCTCAGCCAGCAGGGCCTGAATTTTCTCTCCCTCCTCTGTCCCCTCAGCAGAGCAGCCGGTCCAGGAGGCCCCCAAGCCCTGACCCCACAGGCCAGACCCCCCCCGCCCACCACCAGGAGTGGTCCCAGAAGGAGGCATGGTTGACACCAGCAGTGAGCAGCAGACAACACTTTATTCCCAGGTTCTAGGCAGCCCTGTGGCCATCAGCCAAGAGCCCCCAGACCAGGCAAGGCCAGTCCTCATGGCCCAGCCCTGGGAGACAGGGGCTGGCCTCTGGGTTTGGTCCAGGGGAGGGGGGGGTCTTGGTGGAAACACAAACAGGCGAGAGCAGGTGCAGTTATTCTTTCCGAAATATCAGGCACTTGTTGTTGGCCGGCATGTCCACCTAGGGCAAGGTGTGGGCTGTAGTGGCTGACCAGGCCCCCAGGGAAGCGACCCATGCCCCCCACCCTCCCACCTACCATCCTTTCAAGGAGCAGGCCGCTGGCTTGGCCCAGGTCCTCCAGGAGGGCCGTGTCCCGCAGCCCCCACTCAGGATTCCTGCAGTGAGGGCCAGGCGGGGGAGAAGGTGCAGTTGTGGCTGGGGGCAGCCACCCAGCCCACCTGCCCTCCCAGCCAGGCCCCCCACCTATCCAGCTCTGACCTGCATCTAAGAGTCAGATCAAAATCCACGTTACTCTGCGGAGTGATCTTCCCATTGACGGCATAAGGCTGTGGAGATGGGGACACGGCTCTGCCCGCCACCCACAGACATGGGGTCAGCCATGCCTCCATGGACACACAGGCAGTCTTGCACGCCAGCACCCAGAGAATGAAAAGGACACACCCCTCCCTGCCCCCTGGGCGGGGGACAGCTGAGGACCAGCTGGTGAGCCGGGGGTTGCAGGGAGACTGGCAGGTGACCAGGAGTATGTTGAAGAAGGAAGACCCTGGGTGCAGGGGAGTCGAAGGAGAAGGTAATAAAATACTGCAACCAAAAGGAGGCAGTGCAGAAAGTAGGACGCAGCCGAGATTGGCTAGGATCAGGATTGCCCGCCAGGGGAGGCCCATCATCTCTGGCCGAAACACTCACCCCATAGGTGATCAGCAGCGCCTTGGGTTTGAGCAGATGTCCCGCTGCCCTGAAGAGCCCCTGGGGAGTGAGGAAGCAGGATGTCAATGAGGAGCTTTCTCTCCCCAGGCACCTGAAAGAGCCCTCAGCCTCTCGGCCTCTCTGGCCAGAGACTCAGCCTGACCTGCTCAGGCCTCAGTGCCACCCTGCTCTCTCCCGCTGCACCCATAGGCTGCCCCGCGGCGCAGGTGGGTGGCTCGCCCACGCGCCCACAGACCTCGGTGCAGTTCAGGGGGCTGATGTGGATCATGTTGATGCACAGCAGCAGATCCAGCGACTGGGGCAGGATCCCGCCCCAGTGCTCCCAATCCCAGGTCACGTCCAGGTACAGCGGGGCCTTCACGTTGGACAGCCCCTGAGCCTGAGTGGTGGCCGAGATGCTGTAGAAGGGCAGCATATGGTTGAGGGGAGCTGAGAGGGGTACCCCGGTGGCGTGGGGAATCGGGACAGCGGGACAGGCCCTGCTCCGCCTGCCCCCGCGCCCCGCCCGCTCTCGCCAGCCGGGGTCCCGCCTTCCCCGCGCCCCGCCGCACCTGTCCAGGCAGCGCTGGTCCACGTCGGACGGCTGCCACTCGGCGTGGGGGAAGGCCCGCGCGAAGTGGGCCGTGTGCTGGCCGGAGCCTGAGGCCACCTCCAGCACGCGGACGCCGCGCTGGGCCGGGTCCATGTACTGCCGCAGCACGCGTAGGATGGGCTCCTTGTTCCGCTCGGCCGCCGCCGCCACCAGCATCGCAGCAGCTCAGCCTGCCCGCCGGTAGCCGCAGTCAGTGGCCGCGAGACCCACCAGGCGCTGCAGTCCGACGCCGCGCGGCCCGCCGGGAGTTGTAGTCCTGCGCCGCGAGGCTGGCCGGGAGTTGTAGTCCGGCGCGCGAGGCCCGCCGGGAGTTGTAGTCCGGCGCCGCAAGGCCGGCTGCGAGTTTAAAGGGCCAGCGGCCGCAGGGGGGGGGGCACCGGGAGCCGCAACCCCGGCGGGGTCGCTGGCTTACAGGCAACCGTCAGCTCAGTATCCAGTGACCCGCGGCCACTCCGGCATTTTCATGGAGCTTGTCACTCTCTCATTCTCCAAAAATGCCTTGTCCGCGTTGCTCCGGAATGGATGTTTCCTTGTTTGTGGTCTTCTTTCCTTTTGAAATCAGTGTCCTTAGCGAGAGTTAGTTTGTTGAGATGGGGAAAATGAAAAATACTGCCTGCGCCGCCCGGGAATCGAACCCGGGTCGCAAGAATGGGAATCTTGCATGATACCACTACACCAGCGGCGCTGTTGTTCATTGTACAGACCGCGAGATTTAAGGGATCGTGAGGCAACCTCCAGCGCGCAGAAGTACCATAGCGCATGCGCGCCGTCCCTGGGCGGGGGGGCGGAATACCCGCCCCCGCGTCCCAAAGCCGGCGGACGGGTTAGGGTGGGAGCACTGGGACTGGCCCGGTCCCCGTGAACGGGGGACGGGGCCAATCTCGCGGTGTCACCTGGGCTCCCAGCGCTAGAGCGCACAGAGCGGGCCTAAGGGACGAGGGCTGGGGGCCACGATTCGCGCCCGCTCCTTGGAAACCATGGCAACCGCGGGCGTCCGGAGCCGGTGGGGCGTGGCTACGGTAGCGTTCCTTGTGGACGGGCCTTCGTGGCTGGGCGGGGCTCGTGTCGGCTGGGCGCGGGTGGAGCGGTCCTGGCCGGCAGGGCCCGGACGGACCGGACCTGTGATGCTCAGGGCTGTCCTGCGACACCGGCAAGACCCGCGCTAGCTAGGGTTTGCGGACGTTGTGATGGGGGCTCGGCGACCCCGGAATCGAGTCGGAGCCTTATTTGTTGTGTCCAAGGGTATTTTCCCGATGGTCCCCTTGGGGCCCGTGCCTCCGAGGGGCCCTGTTCTGCAGGCTGAGGGCCGCGTTCCGCAGCGGTATAGCTTCTCTCCCTTGTTGCGTAGTTTTTCACGAGAGAGACCCCCATACCCGACGGCACTCTGGCTGGGGCTCCAGAGGGTGGCCCCAACCCAGGCTTTAACCTGGGATTGTCGTGAAGGGGCCGGGATGTGGTAAGGTACGGCGAGGACAGTCTTGCAGCTTAGGGTGGGGAAGTAGCGTAGGATTGTCGGGGCTGGACCGGCCCCCTGGGGAAGTGCCACGCAGTCCGCGGCCGCCCCCTCCAGGCAGCCCCCCTGGCATTCTGCACGTGACCACCCTTCCCTAGGCTTTCTGTTTCACAGGCCAGAGCTTCCCTTGCCTGAATCACCTTTTGCCTCCCTCCACCTGGTTTGCCGGCTGAGCTGGGCATTTTCTGTAACCTTCCATGTGCGGGGGCTGAGAGGAGCATCTGCTGTGGTTCGTAACAAGCCCCTTTCAGCCTTACCTGGGTTCACACCAACCAGGTGACTCTTGGAGCTCGGGGGTTGGTGGCCAGGGGACCTAACGTGTGATTAGAAGGCTGGAGACCAAGCCCATCACCAATGATGAATGATCTCATCAACCACGCCTGTGTAACGGGGCCTCCCTAAAAACCCAAAATGAAGAGGTTCTGGAGCCTCTGGGCACATGGAGGTGCCAGGAGGGGGAGGGTGGCGCTCCCGGGCAGGAGGCAGGGCCTGGAAGCTCCATGCTCCTTCCCCACCCTCACACTCCCCAAACTGTCCTGTGGGTGTCTTCCATCTGCTGTTCCCAAGTCACAGCCTTGATGATGAACCAGTAACTGAAGTACGGTGTTTCCCCTGTGAGCCGTTCTAGCAAATTATGGCGCTTGAGAAGGGGGTCGTGAGAACCCTGACTTCCAGCTGGTGACAGCCTGGACGTGGTGGCGATCTCATGGGATGGGGCCCTCAGCGTGGAGGGGGGGTCTGCATTCATGCTGGGCAGATAGTATCAGAATTGAGTTAAATTGTAGAACATAAAAAGTGTTGCAAGTGTTTTCCTTTACACCAGGTGTTCTCTAAGAGGCAAGAAACCAGACCAGTCTCCCTGATTCCTCCAGGTCATACGGCTCAGCTCCAGAAGCTGCCCAAATACCCAGCAGTGTCTTCCATTTAACAGCACTTGGCTTTAGGTTGTTATCTGATGTAGCAAAGACATTAGGGTAGGGTTCGAAGCCTACGGCCAAGAAAGAATTCTTGGGACATCTTTGGTGCAAAAAGGTGGTTTTATTAAAGCATAGGGACAGGACCCGTGGGCAGAAAGAGCCACGCTGGGGTCATGAGGAGTGGTCTTTCTTTCCCTTCCTTTCTTGATTTTATGTATTTATTTGAGAGAGAGAGAGGACAGAGAACGCAGCAGGGGGAGAAGGAGATGAGACTCCCCGCTGAGCAGGGAGTGAGGGCAGATGCCTAAAGACTGAGCCACCCAGGCGTCCCCCCATTACATCCTTTCAAGTTGGGAGGGGGTTAGGGACAGTGTAAGTTTCTAAGGCATTTGGAAGCAAGGTTTCCAGCACCTTGAGCGGGCTAGCTATTGTTAGGTAAAGGTCATTTATTACCGTCTAATAAAACCTTAGTCATGAGACCCTTCAGATATATATCGGTGGGCCATATGCTTGGGGGATGCTCCCAACATGTATCTTGTGGGGTAGAGATAAAGGAAGTTTCCAAAGGAATTCTTACATGTTAAAGTAGACTTACAGGGTCGTGGGGGTTGGGTGTTGGGTTAGGATTGCCTTTTGCCCTTAGCAAAGTGTCAACATCAACGCAGTTGAGTCCCTAGAGGAATGTCACTCTGCCTGTTTCAAGGACTTGTTCGTGGGCTGCAGGCAATAACCACCTGCCACATTTGTCGCTCTGGGCTGGCCACTGTGTGAGCTACCCCCTGCCTGCTGCACTCACCAAGCTCAGAGCTAGAGAAGGCTGCAGTGTGTGAGTACGTGTACACACATGTGAATGCTTGTGTGAACATGTTCGAACACACATCTTCTGAAAAGTCATGGTTGTGTGTCAGACTCTGGGCCGGTCCAGGACCCCCAGTGAATGCTGAACAGTTGTCCCCTGGAAGTATCTGACCCTGCCATGGCCTGTGCTTGGTGGGGTCTTCTAGGATTTTGTCTCCTGAGGCAGAATTCAGCTCCCAGGCAGCCCTCCTGAGCTTGGCACAGGCCATCTTTCCAAATGAGTGTTTAGCCACATGGTAACTCTATAGTGCCCAGAGAGCTGTGAGCAGACAGGAGACCCCCGATGGGGGTGCAGGCTTCCTCCCCAGCCCTTTGCCAAGGCGCTGGGCACTCCCCCTCCCGTCCCCTCATCCATCGCCGCCTCCCTTGATACACTGGCTTCCTAGAGCTGCTGTAACAAATGACCCCAAACTCGGTGGCTTAAAACAACGGACATTTATTTTCCCGTACTTCTGGAGGCCCCAAGTCCGAGAGAAAGATGGTCTGCTCCCTCCAGCGGCCCTACAGGAAGAAGGTTCCTCAGTGTTTCCAGCTGCTGGTGCCTGCAAGCACTCTGCCTTCACCTTCACCTAATCTCTCTACCTGCATCCAGACGTTCCTCTTTCTCCTACAAAGACACATCATTGGATTTAGGGCCCATCCTAATGCAGGATGGCCTTATCTGGAAACCTCGCCAAACTTATATCCGCAAAGACCTTTATTCCAAATAAGGTCACATTCTGAGGTTCCCAGTGAGCATAGCTTTTGGGGGACACCACTCAACCCCCCACTGCACTTAGGTTTGGGAATGGCCAAGCAATCCCTGAAACGGCAGTTGACGCAAGAGCCCCCAGCCAGCGCCTTTCGGGGGGGGGGGGCGGTCTGCTGGCCGGCCCTCCACCATCCTGGATCTGCCTTGGTGTGGGCGTAGATTTCAGATGGAGCGCCTTACTGAGAATGACTGAAAACAAACTTCCTCCTCTTTCAGGTTAAGTTTTAGAACCGTATTTAGAATCTTTGAAAGAAAAGAAAATTTCTGTTTGCTTTTATTATGATGACTGGGGTCTGTGAGGAGAAGACCTTTTCTTACCCAGACAGCCATTTGCAAGCTGGGTTAGGCCCCTCCCCCCCGGGGGTGGCTGCCCTACTGGGCCTGGGGGCAAATTCCCAGCCTCCCCAGCAACAGGGAAGGTGGCGGCACAGCAGGGGCTTCACAGCCAACACCCCCCCGCCAGGGTGTGTCCTGGGAGCAGTGAGGCTGGCAAGGCCCCTCTGGGGGAGACCAGGCCCCCCAACAGGTGCAGGGGGCTTCACTGCCTGCTCCCACCACCTGGCCTTCCTCCTCCTTCAGCTATCCTGGGGACCCCTGGGCTCTCCCTCACCCCATTCCCCCCCCCTGCTGCTCCTGCACTTTCTCCCCTCCTACCTGTCAGGATCATTTGTGCTCAGCTGCTTCTCCCCAGAGCTTTGAGGGCTCTGGACCCAACCTTTGACCTTATATAAGGCCTGCGGTAGGGCTTGAACGTTATGGCCTCAAGGCCTGGGTTTCAGAGCGCTTAAGCGCAGGCTGGGCTTGTTTGTGCAGGCCTGAGGGGTGTGCCCGAGGGAGGGGCTCTCAGAGTCTGTGTCAGCTTGGGGGCCCTGCTCCCCACACCAGGGGGAACACAGCCCCCCGCACCCTGGCTTTCTCCCCAGCATGTGAGTGAGCAGTGTGCTCAAGGCCAGGCAGCCAGCACAGATGGTGCAGGAGCATGCTGGCCTTGAGTCTGCTGTGGGGAGGGACAAGGGACAGACACTGCAGGGTGCACAGGGGGGCTGGGGAGGGGCTTGCTAGGGCCTGGATTCCTTGGACATGCTCTTGCTTGGGGGAGACCCTGTTTCCCCTCTTAGGATCACAGGCCTGACGCAGCGCAGCCCACCCTGCGGAGCAGGAAGGTGGGGAGGGGGACCCCCTGGGACACACCCTTCCTTAAGAGTACCTGAGCAGGCCTGGCTCCCTCCCACCAGCCACGAAGGCTCATGGGAAAGCTGGGGGGGGGGAACACTGCACATAGCAGGTGGGGAGGGAGTTCCTCCTGCTGTCACTCCCTGCCCCGGTGACAGGGCTACCCCCACTCTTCTCAATGTCTGCACTCTGTCTGGGGGGTGGAGAGGCTTCAGGTCTGCTCTCAAAGTGAGGTGTGGGGGGAGCTGGGCCTTTGTTCCAGGGGCCCACTGGGCCGCTGCTGAGGTAAGTCCCCTTGCCCCTTGGGGGCGGCAGCTCCCAGACAAGGCCCCAGTGGACACCCCAGGCCCTGGTGCCTGCTGGACTGAGATTCCTCAAATATTTGTGGAAAAGCATGGGCTGGCAGTGGCTGTAAGAGCCTTGGGGACGGATTCCTGGACAACTCTGGGCAGAGTGTTTTCTTGGGTGGGGGCATGCTAAGGATTGAACTCAACCAAACGGAGGACGAGGGGAGGCTTCCGTTGAGCCCACTAGGTCCTGGGGCTCACAGACCCAAGAGTGTGTTGCTTCCTCTCCCACAGCCTGGGCAGCAGTGGGGAAACCCCCAGCCCTGAGCAGCCCCTGAGCTGGGAGGAAGGGGCACTTCTATGTAATTTTCAGGAAGGAACCCGGGGGTGGAGCCCGCCTCCCACTTCATTCCAGGCGGGCCACCTGAGTCTGGGGGCCAGTAATCTCCTCTCCAATTGGGATGAAACAGGCAAACCGGGCATCCTCACTCACCCACCTCCTCTCTCCCCAAGATCCCACCCCCACACTGCTCTCAGACTGGATGGGGTCCCCCGTCCCTGGAGCTGGGGGTGCATCTTGGCATGGGAGGCTCAGGAAGCAGGGTGTACCCACTATTCCTGTCCCACGGAGTGCAAGGGAGATTCCCAGGGCGCCAGGTTTCTGCCCAAACCCACATTTTCTGGCCTCCGGCCCCTTGTTTCCAAGACCCAGGCCAAGAATGACCCTTCACGCTGGCCCAGGCCCACCCAGGCACCTTGGCTGAAGCTCCCCAACTTCAATGGGAACAGCCTTGCTTCCAGGGTGCGCACAGAGCTCCCCCAGCGCCTGTCAACGCGCTCCCACCCGCACCCCCTGCTCACCTGGCCTTCCGTTGGTGGAAAGCCGTCCCAGGCCCAGGACGGTTCCTCTGCCTTGGCCTTGGGCCATGTGGGGTGGGGCGCTGGTGGCTGCGCGCCGCAGCCAGTCTCCCCAACGGCCGGAGCGCCACCTCCGCCGCGTGCCCCGAGGCCAGCCCCGACGCGCGGGCCCTTTAAGGGCCGGGGGCGTGTAGCGGCCCGCCCCCTCCTCGCCGCGCCCGGCCCCCGCCCGTTAAAGGGGCCGCGCCCTGGGCCCCCGCCGAGTGCGAGCCCCGGCGGAGGGCTGGGCAGGGCGTGCGTCTCGGTGAGCGCGCGGGCTGCCGGCCCCTCCGCACCATGTACACGATCACCAAAGGGCCCAGCAAGCTGGTCGCGCAGCGCCGCACAGGTGCGCGGGGAGGGGGGCGGGCAGGGCCGCCGGGGGTAGGGTCCGCGCAGTGACTGCCCAGGCGCGGCGGCGGCTGACGCGCCCCGTGCCCGCAGGTCCCTCGCAGCAGCAGGTGGAGAGCCGGCTCGGCGAGCTCCTGAAATGCCGGCAGCCCGCGCCGCCGACCCCACCGCCCCCGCGGGCGCAGCCGCCGGGACCCTGGCCCCTGTCGAGGTGAGACGCGTGGGCCGGCCGTCGGCGGCCGCGGGACCAAGAGGTTGACCTTGGGGCAGGTTCGCTGAGACCCGGCCACATGGTTGGGGCGGGCGCGGGGCGGGGCGTTTGACCCCGCCCGCGCGGGCGGCTCTGGCCTCCGCACCTCCGCGCCTCCGCCTCACCTGGTACCTGGCAGGGTCGGAGGGGGCTGGAGCGGCTGTGCACGATCCCCTCTCCCACTCTGGCCCAGTGGGACCTTGGCGGAACCCGAGTGGGGAGGAAGCGGACCAGCTCCTGGATCGGAGGAGCTCCACGCGGCTGACTCAGATGCCCCGGGCGACCTTGGGCGGCGAAGCCAAGGTTTGAGGCGAGCTGCCCAGGAAGGCGGGAGCAAAATCTCTTAGGGTGCTGGCCCGCAAGGCCTCCTGGCTCTGGCCCCGGCGGGAAGCTGCCAGGCCTGTCCTTGCAGGGCGGGCTGGGGGAGAAAGTGCACGTGGTTCCCTTTGGCCCTACCAGGCCACCGCTCCCCTGTGCCCTTCACGCAAAACACCCTGGCTGGGCACTGGAGGCCTCCCGCAGATACTCAGGCCTTGCCGGAACCTGCAGTTTCCTGCCTTTCCTGACCAGCAGTTTTGCCAGTGCCCAACACCTGCCCCACAGGAATCTCAGTCCTGGCCAATTTGGCCTCCACATGACCTTGACCTGGAGGTCAGATTCCCCCCTCCCCATCCCCCAGAGCTGAGCATTTTACTTTTTTGTTTTAGCTCTGGACCTTTGGTTTCGTTTATTCTATGCATTTCCTGGGCCCAGGGCTTTCTTCCAAGCCCACAAAGGCCTGAGGCCTCCTGGGCTAGGCAGTGGGTAGGGGCAGCAGATAAACAGGGTGGCTGACTCTGGGCCCCTGGAGGCAGCTCTGAGGGTGCAGGTGATGGGGGCCTGCCAGGAGGGGGCAGCCTGTGGGGATCTTTCTGGGCCGAGGCCCTTCCCTGGGGTGGGGGTGGCTTCTGTTGGGGGCACGTTGACGTTTTGATGTTGCTTCCTAGTGATTAAAACATTTTAGACCAACCACAGGCGTGTCCTGGGGAGACAGGGGAGCAGGGCCTTGGGGGGCAATTCCTGGGACCCAGGCTGTGTTATAATATTGCCTTGTGATTTCAGCTTTGGTCCTCACGGCTGCCCTGCTGCCCAGAGGAGTAAATAAGACATAGGTGTATAGCCATGACTGGTCACCCAAGCAGATAACCTGGGAGCAGAGTGGTCCAGGGTGCCCCCCACCCTCTCACCTGGAGAAGCGTGTCACCTCCCTCTCCAGAGTCCCATTGCTGATGAAATCAGGGTGCATCTGTACCAGGGTTGGGGCATGCTGGGGAGGGAGATGGGAAAGACCACATAGAGCCCTTAACCCCCCCCCACCATGCCTCACCTTCACCCTCAGCCAGTTGGGCACACCGCAGCCTGTGGGGTTGGGAGGGTGCTGACCAGCCTGGCCTGAGGAAGCACAACCCTTGGCCTACCTCAGTCCTGTGTGGGTCCTACTGTGTGCCAGGGAGTGGTGAGCAGGCACAGCGTGTGCTGGTTGTGCTGGGCCCCCTCCCAGTCCCCGTGGCCTCGAAAAGACCCTGCTGGGAGGCCAAGTGAGTCCCCCCCTACCCCCTCTCCTGAACCTTCTCGGGGGGCCACCCTCCAGAGTGGCTCCACCCGCCTTCCTATCCTGATTTTTCCCCTGTAGTGCCTGTTTACTACCCGACATCCCTCACCCCAACTTGCCCACGAGAGAGGGGGTGTCTGGGCCATTGCTGCATCCTCCACGGCTGGTGCGCCGTGTGCACCGCAGGTGCTCAAAGTGTCTGACCTGCTAATTCTGTAGGCTGGGGTTCTCACCTGCCATGGGGCTGTGCCTCTGAGCCGCTCTTGCTCCCAGTGTGAGGCAGACAGCAGAGATCAGTGCAGGTGACATTCATTGTTGGGAAGAAGATAAAATGGCGCCACATGACCCCCAGGTGGTCATGCGAGCAGGTCGGGGAGGTGGCCTGGGAGTTTTACTGAGACGTGGGCTTTGAGGCCAGGCAGGTGTGCACGTATGTTCTGGAACTAGCACCCATTCACAGTGTGTGACTTTGGGCGGGTCACTTTCCTGTCTTGAGCCCAGGGTTCTGGGCTGGAAATGGGTGGGTGGTTTACCGTGGGAGTCAGAGAGGAGACTCAGTGCTAGGATGCCGTGTGGGTGCTGAGCAGGGACACTGGAGTGTGTCTACGGGCAGCATCCTTGGGAGCAGGCACAGCGTGGCCTTCATCCACAGGTGCACACTTGAGCCAGGGCCCTTTCCCCCAGAGGGCCTGTGGAGCATCCTTATGTAACTAGGTCCCAGTGGGGTAGGGGGTTAGGTGGGTGCCTGCCTGCTGGGCCCCTGCTCAGCCCTGGTCAGGCTATGGCCTTGGTCCCTGTGACCCATAGCCCATGGCTGCAGTTCCCTTTTTGGTTTTCCTTCTTCGCTGTCCAGCCTCCACTTTCCTGGAGTCTGCAGGCTTGTGGGGGTGGGGGTGGCAGGTGAGGGGCTGTCCAAGTTGAGAACAAACCTTCATACCTTCTGGTTGGTGCAGCTCAGGCCTGGGAGGAGCCCCGCCCCCCTACATTTTCTTCACTGGCCTGGAGCTGGCGGGACCGGTGCCCCTCAAGACACTCCTCTTTATTTTAGTTCCCCTCTCAGCCAAGGAGGACCCCCGAGCGGCGGTGGGGCACCTGAGCCCAGGAAGGCGAGCAGGCCGGCGGGACCGCGAGTGCCTGGCGGAGTGGCACGTGCAGCCCAGGACTCCCGGCTCCCACCTCCTGCTGTAGGTGCGGGCCCCGCTCCCTCCACGGCCCCATCCTGGGCTTTGTGTGTGCAGGGCTAGGCCAGCTGCCGCCAGCAAGGGCAGCCCATCAGTGCCCTGGGCCCCGCTGATCCGCTGACCTGGACAGGCCCAGTGGCTTCCTGGACATCCCACGCCCACCAGGCTGAGCTCCAGAGCCTGGGGGCCATCTTCTCCACTCAGCATTCCCACCCCCTGTGGGCAAGAGTGTTGCCTTATCTGGGACCTGCAGGGATGGGCTGGGGTTGAAGTCACAGCTTCTCCACTCAGTGCTCTTTGGCCAGACCATCACTTAGGGCTCATCCCCACGGAGCCTGGGGCAGCCAGGAAGAGGGAAGGGCGGCGATTGCCTGTTTGTTGTCTGGGTCCTTTCTCCCACACTGGGGACAGTGGTGAGATGGAGAAGCTTTGGAGGGGGTCGGGGGGAGAGAAAATGGCCGAGAATTGTGCCTGGCCAACTGTGGTTGGGTCAGAGTGATCTCGTTGTAGCTTAGATCTGAACGTGGGTTGCTGGAGGCCTGGCTGGTCCTGGGGAGGTGGGATGCAGGTGGCAGTAGGGGTGCCCGAGAGACCCTTGGAGGAGTGCCTGTGTGCCTTGAGCATGGAACCCTGCTGAGGGTCTGGGGCACGGGGCTGGGGACTTCAGGTGTGAATCGAGCTGCTGGGGGCTTGGACCTGCAGGAGAGAGGCCTCCTCGGCCACCACTGCAGCACGCAACTACCTTGAAGGTCAAGGAAGTGCCCAGGCTGAGCCTGGCCTGGGGGTGGTGGGGGTGGCCTGAATCTGCTCCTGGAGCTTTGCCAGGCATCATCTGGGCTTAGGACAGTTGCTGACCGGCTCCTCCCTGCCTCCACAGTCCAGGACCAAGGCTCGTGTTCAATCGGGTGAATGGCCGGCGGCCCCCCGCCACATCTCCATCCCTTGAGGGAACCCAAGAGACCTATACGCTGGCCCATGAGGAGAACGTCCGATTTGTGTCTGAAGGTAGTGTCGAGGCCCAAGGGTGAGGCCTGGGCCCCTGTTCTTCCTCCCCACTGTGACCTGGTTCCAAGCAGCTAGAGGGCTGGGTTCTTCCTAGGCTGTCTCCCCATTGGTCCTGTGATGGTCCAGTGGGCTGCCTACTCCCCTTCTTAGCTGGGGTCCCGGGTGGGAGACAGGAGGCCAAGGCCTGGCTCAGCCCTACTGCCCTCCCCCAACAGCTTGGCAGCAAGTGGAGCAGCAGCTGGGTAGTGGCCCAACTGGCGATAGTGGGCCCAGACCTGTGCAGTACGTGGAGAAGACCCCCAGCCCCCGGCTGCAGAGTGAGCCCCCCCTGCTCTCAGGGAGTCCCCTCCACTCCCTCCAACCCTGACCTGGGCCCTGCTGCATTCTAGCCCTAGGGGATTGGGGAGGGCACTTGAACTTGACCTGCTTCTTCCCAGTGCTTGCTCTGTTTGGGTCTGGGGGAGGGGCCTGTGGTCAGCTCAAAGGGACAGACACTGACTGATCTGGGAGGCAGCATCACTGCCCAGACTTCTACTCTGCCCACAGACTTTGTGCCCATTGACCTGGACGAGTGGTGGGCACAGCAGTTCCTGGCCAGAATCACTAACTGCTCTTAGCTGCCTTGGAAGGAATGCTGCCCCAGGGCCCAGCCCTGGCCCCTGCCAGGAGAGGACCACGGAGCCCTATTTAGCTGCCGAGGCAGGCTGTCCTTCACCCTGAGTCTGGCCAGGAGCCGGCCACACCTGAAGTGCCAGCATTTGGACTCTTGCACCTGCTCACCCCTTGGACCAGCTGTCCTGTGCTGCCAGGGGCCAGAAGCTGAATCTGTCTGACCTCAATCCTGCTCACTGTGCCCAGGGACCAGCCCCTGGAGCTGGCAGGGAGGAGCTCCAGACTAATAAAGTTGAGAAACTGCCCTTTCCGAGTGGCCTTTATTTGGTATGTGGGGGGTGGGGTCAGGGTCCTCACATTTAGGTCCAGCCTAACCTTTCCTTGGCCCCATAGCTGCAGCTCTGCCCAATTCTGGCCCTCCTGTGACCTGATGGAGGTGCTGGGGCCCTCTCTGGGCCAGCTCATCTTTCTCGGATGTCGCTGACCTTACCCGGCACCCCCCAGCTTTCTCTCCCCGTTGGCAAGTGCTTGAGCCCCGTCTCAGGATACACAAATGTTAGCAACAGGCCCGGGGATCGAGTCCCAGAGGCCCAGGATTGGGGCCAGATCTCAGGAGGCTTAGTCCTGTGTCTTAACACCCCAGACTGAGTTGCCCTGTGGGACATTGCTTTGCCTCTTGGGTGGGTGGCATTGCCTGCGGAGTGGAGCGGAGTACCCCAGGCGTGGACGCTAGAGGGCTGGAGGCAGTAGGGTGGAGCCCAGTGGGCTGGCAGTGAGTGTGACAAGCGCATTCCCATAAATACGGGGTGCGTGCCCTTCCTGATATACAGGTGGGCCCCAGAAAGTCGGGCACTTCCCTGGTTCCCGCTGTAGCCCTGCTAGGGCATCGCCATAGGGTCCTGGCTTGGGAGTGGCCGCAGAGGCCCGGGCCGCGACGGCTCTCAGGGTGCCCGAGAGGCCGCCCACCGCGAGCCCGGCGAACCTTCAACACCGACCACGGTCACGCGACCCGGCTCTGGTCGCACCGCGGTCACGTGGCCAACGCCGCGCCGTCGTGCGCCCCGCCCCTCAGGTCACGTGGCCTCACCCGCGGGACGGTAGTAGTGGCGCCGTTGCCAGGCGGCCGTTGCTAAGCGTGCGCTGCGTGCCCTGCGTGGAGCGCGCGGCGGCAGAGGCGGGAAGTGCGAGCGGCGACGCCATGGCGAAAGGTACCGGCGCGCGGGAGGCTGGGGCCGGGGGCCGTGGCGGGGGCGGTCAGCGCGGGGGGCGGGGGGTCGGCGCGGCGGAGACCGGGGCCGGGGGGGGTCGTCAGCGGGGGGGGCACCGGGGCGGCGGGGGCCCCTGGGAACCGGGGCTGGCGCGCAGTAATGGCTGTCACCGCGGGGGTGGTGGCGTAGCACAGACCCAGCCTTCGGCCCCTCCCTGGAAGGCCTGGAGGCCCACAGCGGGATGTCCCCCCTTACCGGCGGGGGGCCTGGCATCTGGGGACGCACCTTCATGCCCATGGGGGTCCTCACACCTTCATGGCTCCCCAGTGTGGCAGCACCCGTTCCTCAACGTCTTTAGACACTTCAAGGTGGGCGAGTGGAAGCGGTCCACTAAGGAAGGCGATGTGGCTCCTGTCACTGTAAGTGGGCCTGGGGACTTGGCAGCAGCGGTAGAGATCCCTTCTGTCCTCCTGAGAAACCTGTCAGAACCACCCCAGGGGCACGCCGATGGTGCCCTTCTCGGCGTCTCTCGGTGGACAGTGCTGCCTCCCCTCTGCCTCTTTCTAGGATAAGACTCTAAAATGCACTGTGTATCGCATCCGGGGTTCTGTCTCTGCCGGCAATTACATCCAGCTCCCCAAAACCAGTACCCAATCTTTGGGGCTGACCGGCCGGTACCTGTACGTGCTCTTCAGGCCCCTGCCAGCCAAGCACTTCGTCATTCACCTGGATGTGGCCACCGAGGTGCCAAGCTTGGGAGTGGGGATCGGGGGTGGTGCTGCATTCCTGTAGTCCTTCTGGTCTCCTCATGGTCATGCTGTGCCTTGCAGGACAGCCAGGTCATCCGTGTGTCCTTCTCCAACCTCTTCAAGGAGTTCAAGTCTACGGCCACGTGGCTGCAATTTCCCTTCATCTGTGAGGCTGGGTTATCTGTAAAAGGTGATGTGGAAACGGGGCATGAACGGGCTGCGGTAGTCCAGGAGAGGCGGCCTGAGAGCGGAGAGGAAGGTGGGCAGTCCCAGGTGCAAGGACAGGTGGTGCTGGGGGGACATTGTGGTTGGGGCAGGCCAAGTACACAGTGCCCTGGGCTGGCTGGTGAGACTGTAGGCACTGATCTTGGCTCGCGTTCTTCAGAGCTGGCCAATGTTGCCCCCTCTGGTGCCCGTTGGACATGCCTACAGCTTGATTTGCATGACATTCTCCTGGTGTACCTAAACCGGCGCTACGGTCACCTCAAGAGCGTCAAGCTGTGCGCTAGTCTGCTCGTGAAGAGTCTCTACACCAGCGACCTGTGCTTTGACCCCGGTGAGTGCTGTACTTACATCCTGTGGTCATCCTGCAGCCTGTCTGCTCCAGCTCTCTCCCCCCATCCCTGAGTTCTCAGCAGGAGGGGCTGACATCCCAGCCCGTGATGGAAACGCCTGTGCTGTGCCATCTTGGAGCCCCCCAGCTCCTGAGGCACCTTGGGGGGCAGGGGGTGGTGGTGGCTGGGCTGGTGGCATCTGGTGTTGAGACTCGCCTGGGCTGGAAGAGGGAGCTGGATGGGCTTCCTTCCCTAGACCAGCTCTGCTCTTTGTAGCTGTTACCATGGCTGAGGCCCAGCGGGCAAAGCTGCCTGTCACACCTGTACCTCGAGAAATGGCATTCCCAGTGCCAAAGGGGGAGAGCTGGTATGACCACTATGTCCACATCCGGTGAGCAGCTTTGCCCATCCTGCGGGAGGTCAGTGAAGGGAGGCCAGGGTGGTCCCTGGACACTAAGTTTCTCTCTGCCCTGTCGAGGTTTCCAAGTGACAGCTCAAAAGCATCTCCTGAGCCAGTTTGGAAGAGCTGTTCCCCTCCTAAGGCAGGTGGGCCTGTGGAGTCACCAGAGACGTAGGCTCAGGCCTACAGGGACGTGGAGTTTCACGGGAGGGAGTGTTGATACTGTATGGGGGTGGCAAACCTGGCAGGGAGGTGCCCACAGGGGCCAGGGCTAGCCCCAAGGCTGTCCTGAGATGCCAGGATCACGTGGGAGGTTTTGTAGGGTGCCTGGTGTTTTCAAACTTTCCAACTAGGAGGGCATGCTGGGGCCTGGGGCAGAAGGGTGGGCTGAGCTGTTGCTGTGGCTTTGGAGGAGTGGACAAGGCACTGTGACCATGCTCTCCCCAGGCCTCTCTGCACTCTGTTCAGTGGCTTCTGTGGCCTTTGGTTCCATTCCAGATTTCCTGGGGCGCATGTTGCAGGTTCTCCCTCGCCCGGTGGCTTTCAGTAATGCCTTCCAGGACACTCTGCCCTCCATGGTCCAGGTGTTTGGCCCCATAGCCGTGAGTGCTCCTTTGTTCTTAGAGATGGGGCTGGAGGGTGGTGGCCTCAGGGTCCTGATCGGCACTTGTGCCCCTGCGGTCTTGCCAGGCCCCCTCAGTGCCCAGGCCCCTTCCAGAGGTCAGCTTGTTCTGTGAGCGCTCGGAGGTCCCCAGTACGAGTGGCCCCAGTGACCGTAGCCCAGAGCGCTCGGCTGGGCCAGAGGTCACTGACAAGCATGCGGCTGGCAACGGTGTTCACGTGTCCGCTCCTAAGCCGACCATGGTGCCCGTGGTGCTGGAGGATGTGGCTGTGCATGAGGTCAGTGCCTACCCCCAGGAAGGTGAGGGGTAAGGCATTTCACTGAGGTGGATGGAGCCTTGATGAGGTGTGGGTAAGGGTTGCTGGGTCTCTGAAACCTTTTGTCATCCAGCGTTCTGGCAGAAAGCAGAATGAGCAGGAGATGGCTCTGGACAAGAATCTCTTCCAACCAAGGATAAGGAGGCACCAGGTGATCTTTGGAGGTCTTGGAGCGCAGGCAGGGGCAGGAGCTGGGGTCCCCAAAGGGTCTGGCACTCTGGCCAGATCCTGGCTTCCTGCCACAGGGCAGCTGGCAGAAACCACCCAGGACTGCATTGCTTTCTTGGGAGGGAGAAACTAGCCTGGGCTGGTGCAGTCCCAGGGGGATGGGAGCCTCACCTCCTGGCGTCTCACCGTGAGTTTGCCTGTTTCAGAGCTTTCTCCCGGATCCGATCCTGAGGCTCAAGGGAGTCATTGGCTTTGGGGGCCACAGTACCAAATGGGTGAGGGATCCGGCACTCTTACTGGGCCGTGTGAGTGTCAGTTACGTAGAGGGGGCAATGGGAAAAGCCCATGTCTCTGTAGGGTGGCTATGTGGACATGTAAGCTTCCTCAGGGTGTGGAGTCCCTCACCCCCCTGCCCCCCCACTGTGGATGCTTGGCTCTGCCCGTGTCTGCACAAAACTCGGCATTTGTTCAGCAGAAGTGTGGACTTGCCAACCCGGCATCCCTTTCTTCTGTCGCAAGCGCAGTCCACGTTAGCACAGCCCGGGTGCTTGAGCTTCCCTAGACCTGAGAGCTCTCACGTGTCCCATGAGGTTTTGATGCTTGTCTGGTGTGTGGGGCTGGTGTGGGTGCTAGTTTTGGGTCCTGTGCTTGCCAGGTCCTTCTAGACATGGATTGAGCGTCTGTGGGTCCTGGTATTTTGTTACCTCAACCCCAGAGTTTCTAGTATTGCAGACAGGGTTTGGAGGAGGTTTTGAGTGTGTGTGTGTGTGTGTGTGTGCGCGCGCGCGTGCTCCTGACACAGCAGGGGATGTGCTGGGGTTGTGGAGAGTGGAGGCCAAGCAGCCTGTGACATCCATGTCTGGCCCCTGTGCACAGGCCCTGTGGACTAAGGATGGGGCTGCTGTGGTGTATCCCTGCCACGCGGTCATCGTCGTCCTGCGCATCGACACCCGTGAGCAGCGGTTCTTTCTCGGCCACACGGACAAGGTGGGCGCCACCTGCCCGACCCAGGGGAGGCTTATGCCTGCGGGCCCAGTGCTGTCCCCTCAACCTACCACCTCCTCCAGGTTTCTGCCCTGGCGCTGGATGGGAGCAGCTTGCTGCTGGCCTCGGCCCAGGCCCGGCCCCCAAGCATGCTGCGCCTCTGGGACTTCCACACCGGGGAGTGCCTGTCCCTGTTCCGGAGCCCGGCCCACTCCCTCTGTTCCCTTAGGTGGGCGTGGGGCCTCTGAGAGGGGTGGGGACCCAGCCCCCGCCACGCTGACTGCCTTCTTTCCATCCGCAGCTTTTCCAACAGTGGGGCGCTGCTCTGCGGCGTCGGCAAGGACCGCCATGGGAGAATGGTACCGGGGCTGGGTCAGGGAGGTGGGGTGGCCTGTGCCGGGATGCAGGCAGAGTCCTAAGCACTTAGGAAGCAGAGCTCCCCTGGCAAGCCGCCTGCCCTGTGCACCCTGTGTGGTGCCTCGTGTTGTCAGGCCTGTGGACGGAGTCGCTGTCCTGCTGGCCGTGTTTGGTGGGTCAGCCGTCCTGAAGTCAGGTGCATCTGATGCGTTGCATGTTTCAGCCCGGGCTTGTCTCTGCTTGCGGGTTGGTGTTTTCTCTCTTCCCACAGACGGGCCTAGCTTCGAGTGTGGAAGCCCAGGGGTACACCTATAGCTTCTTCTGGGCCGTAGCGCCAATGTCCCCAACCCCTCAGCCACCGAGCGCTCAGGCGGGCTTGTGTAGGGAAGGAGAGCTGAGGCCTGGGGCAGGCCAGGCAGGGTCGGTGGTGGGCCGCAGGCACTCAGTATGGGCTTGTTGCAGATGGTGGTGGCCTGGGGTACAGCCCAGGTGGGACGAGGCGGTGCGGCAGCCCTTCTCGCAAAGGTGCACACCAGGGTTGACATCCAGGCATTTGAGGTGGCCCTTTTTGACGAAACCAGGTGATGGTGCTGTCCTTGCAGTGCTGGGATGAGGCCTTGGCAGCCACGGGCCCCAATAGGGCCTGAGCCTGCGGCTCCCTGGCTTGGGGGCCACTGCAGTGTCGCGCTCTGCCTGCAGGATGGCGTCGTGCGGACAAGGCAGTGTGCAGCTGTGGCGGCTGCGGGGGGGCCAGCTGCGCTCCTGTCCTGTGGACTTGGGGGAGCACCGCCTGCTGGAGCTGACCGACCTGGCCTTCGGTCAGGACGGCCATACGCTGTGAGCTCTACCCTCACCCCCGTAGCTGGCTGGGTCCTGTTCCCTCTTGGCTCTTCAGCCCTTACCTGTCGCCTCCCTGAGCAGCTACGTGTGCGGCCACAGTGGCCACATCTTGGAGATCGACCACCAGCGCATGGCCGTGCGGCACGCTCGCCGCCTCCTGCCCACGCGGAGCCCCGGTGGCCCTCTCTCACAGAAGCAGACCTTCAGCTCGGGTAGGTGGGTACGTTGCTGCATGGGGGGGGGAGCCACTGTGATGCTGTGGGGTGACCCTGCCCACCCCCTAGGCCCTGGCATTTGCATCAGCAGCCTCAGCGTGTCCCAGGCCCTATGTGCCATGGGCTCCGAGGATGGCTACCTGCGCCTCTGGCCCCTGGACTTCTCCTCTGTGCTTCTAGAGGCAGGTGGGACCATGAAACCGTCTTGGCATCCGAGGTGTCCTGGGAGGGTCGTGTTCCTGGGTCATCCCCTGGCTAGACGTCAGTCCCAGGGCTCCAGGGGGTCAAGTCCTGAGCCCGGGAGTAGGTGGTCGTCGGGGAGCTGCCTGTCCTACCCCACGGAGAGCAAGGAAATGGGTTTGTCTGTGTTGTGGTGGGGGCCTGGGAGGTCACCGAGCCAGTCTGTCCGCAGAGCACGAGGGCCCAGTCACTTCAGTGTGCATCAGCCCTGATGGTCAACGTGTGCTGTCTACCACGTCCTCCGGCCACCTGGGCTTCCTAGATGTCCCGTCCCGGGACTATAGCATGCTGGTTCGCTCCCACACCGCTCCGGTGCTGGCCTTGGCCACCGAGGGCAGCCGAGGGCAGCTGGCCACGGTGTCCCGGGACCACACTGTCCGCGTCTGGGACCTGGCGACCTTGCAGCAGGTGGGGTACAGCCAGAAGAAAGCCATCGCAGAGGGAGGGACTGAGGGCCAGTGGGTGGGCCCAGGCAGGCGTGGAGCACTGGAGGGTCCGTGGGGCCACCTGGAGAGATGGGCTCTCAGGCTCTTGAGGCCAACTGGTAGCCCCACCCCTGCCCACCCTCATGGACCCCACTCTCCAGCTCTATGACTTGAGGTCCGATGAGGATGCCCCGTGTACCATCGCCTTCCACCCCATGCGGCCAGCCTTATTCTGCGGCTTCAGCAGTGGAGCCGTCCGTTCCTTCAGCCTGGAGGCTGCTGAGGTTCTGGTGGAGCACAGGTGGGTGCCCAGTTGTCTCCAGCCCCACAGACACCCGTGGCGGAAGCTGAGGTGGTATGTGGGCAGCTGGGCCGGGCAGGGAAGGGCCATCCACAGAAAGCCCCAACACCCTCCTGCCCCTTGGGGACTCAGGCAGGACCAGCTGTGAGCGGTCTGGGATGGTGCAGCTCAGGGCCAGGGCAGTGGTTGTCCCTGTGTGGTGCAGGTGTCACCGAGGACCAGTCACCGGCCTGGCCGCCAGCCCCGACGGCAGCCTCCTGTTCAGCTCTTGCTCCTGGGGCACCTTGGCCCAGTACCACTGCGCCAGCACCCCTTGCCGCATCCTGCGTGTGGCAGGTCAGGCCCCCGTGCTGCCCCGTCCAGCCTCCTGACCATGTCCTTATCTGGTCCCCATGGGGTGGGGGTTGCTCACTACCTACAGCTCCCGGGTGAGTGTGGTTTTAGAACTTCTTAGGCCCCCCAAAACCAAAGGTCATTGAGGGTTTGTGCCAACCCTGCCCCGGGAGGAGGTGAATGGCCTGAGCACTCCGTGGGGGTTGGGTCACCCGAGGGCATGTATTTCCTCTTGTGGCCACTTGGTAGTAACTTGGGTCAGCCAGGCGATCACTTGGCAGCCGGTCGTGGTCCAGGAGAACCCCAGCTATCCCAGCCGTAGCTCGTGCCCACTGCTGTCTGTTTGCCACAGTTGGGGGCAGGTTTGGGGCTCCACCCAGTTGACCCTGTGCCTCCGTGCTGCTGGCAGCTAACATGGTGTGCCGGGACGCACACCCAACCCCCAATGCCCTGGTGGTTAGCGGGGATAGCCGTCTGCTGGCCTTCGTGGGCCCCTCCAGGCATGTGGTGACTGTCATGAACGCAGCCTCCCTAGGAGAGGTGAGTCAGCTGGAATCTTAGCGTGTCCATGCTGGCCGGGCCGGCAGCCACATGGCTATCCCGGGTTCCACCAGGGTGGAGGGAGCAGGGAAGGGCAGGCGCTCTCCTTGGCCCTGTGTGGAGTGGGAGGGGGCAGTTGGGAGGTCAGGCTCACCCCCGAGAAGAGCTGATCTTTGCTGCCTCAACTCATAGACACAGGACGTGTAAGCCACAGGCAGGCAGGGTGCAGTGGGTGGGTCCCTGAGGCTGCTCACCTCCCGTGCTCTGGCGCTGGGGGTGCAAGCTCTGCCTGGAGGTCCTGCCCGGTGGCTGCTTGCTGCTCTCTCCCAGCTGCTGCAAATTGATGTCGGTGCCCTGGACCTGGCCAACAGCCGCCTGGACTCGGCTGTGGCCATCTGCTTTGGCCCTGGACCCCCTGGCCACCTACTGGTGTCCACGTCCTTTAACGCGATCATGGTGCTGGATACCACGTCAGGCCGCGTGGTCCGGGAGGTGAGCCCAGGGCTGTGGTCGGCAGTTTGACCTCCTCTTCCCTCCGGGCTCCAGCGTTAGTGCTTCCAGTGCCTCGAGGAGGGGGAGGCCTGGGCTGTCTGCTACTCCTCGGAAGTGGCATTTCTCGAGAAGGGCGACTTCCCGTGTCCGGGGCTCTGTGATTTCCGCTCTTTCCTTACCGACCGACAAGAAGGCTTCTTGCAGCTGCCAGGTGTCCACCCTGTGGCCTGCCCTTCCCTGGCCCTCAGCCGGGACGCCCGCTTCTTGCTGACGGCCGCTGACCGGGCCATCAAGGTGTGGGACTACCCGATGAAGGCCTGCCCCGGCTGCCAGGTGGGGGCCACAGGCAGGTGCATGGCAGGTGGGTGGGAGGGAGGGTAGAGGATGAGACCCCCAACTCCCCTGTGCCTGTTGGGGCCTGACACCCCTGAGAGCCTCCTCCTCGCGTCCCTGTCTGGCGGGTTGGGGACTCTCAGCCAGGTCTACAGGATACATCCACTATCTTGCAGCGTGAAGCGCTGCTTCTGCCCAGTGCCGGGAGGACCGTGGTGCCCTAGCTGTGCCTCGATGGTCTGTCTCTGACTCCCCTTGCCTCCAGGTGTATATCGGCCACTCAGAGCCCGTACACGCCGTGGCCTTCACCCCTGACCAGCAGCAGCTCCTTAGCGTGGGGGATGCCATCTTCCTCTGGGACATTCTGGGTCCCCTGGAGAGGTCATCCCCAGGAAGGTAAGTGTCTGTCCTAGAGCTGTGTCCACTGGCCTTTAGCTACACTCTCCCATCTGATCTCTTGTTGCCTCTGCAGTGCCGGAGACTCAGCTGGGGCACCCCTGACCTGTGAGACTAGTGAGTGGCCCTACCGCAGGGGCAGGCTTTGTGATTATCTTTGGTGCTGGCTCTTCAGTCCCTGTGGGTGGCATAGCGCCCCTTCCTTTCCTGGGGTTCCTAGTGTGGAACTGGGGGTGTGTGGTACAGGCTGACTCTTTCTGTCTCCAGGCGTGGATGCAAGGCAGCTGGAGGACACGGTATCTGGGGCCAATGGGCTCCCCCGGCAGCAGGTGCCTGAGCCATCCCCGGCATCCCCACTCCAGCTGGGCATCTGTGCTGGATCCCTCAAGGGTGATGGTGGTAAGGGTGGAGGACCCAGGAGGGACTGCTGGGTGTGTCTCTGGTCCAGGCCTGGGGGGACGGGGGTGGGGGCAACGTTACTCTGCTCCTTCCTCTCACTGCTCCCTTCTCCCCCTCTCCCCAGGTGCCTTCTCAGATGAAGAAGGACCCTCTGAGGAGAGCCATAGCCCTAAGGGGCTCCATCAGGCCTCAAGCCTGCCCATGCTGGTGAAGGAAGCCAGTGGGGCTGGAGACGGGGTCTGGGGGTCTCCAGGGGCCCCCTGGGGCCTCAGCATGGGTCCCCACCCCCATAACTGGTCCAGTAAGCAGAAGAGGGGCAGCAGGGGGGGGGTGGGGATACTCATGACTGACCAAGGTGTTCCGTGGGCTCCAGGTGGCCTAAGGGAGGCCCATCCGCTTCTCAGGCTGAGGTTTACTCTGTGAGATGAGCTACAGGACAAGTAGGCTAGTTTGAGCCCCAGCTGGGCCTGGCTAGCAGTGGGATGTGGCCCATCTGCGCCCTCTGACCCCACATGCCTGCTGTGGCTCAGACACTTGTCCCACCCAGCAGCGCCGGGTGACTGTGTACAGGGAGGGGTCTCTGAGGGGTTATGGGCGCTTTGATGTTTCGAGGCCTCTTCCTTGTCCCTGTCAGGTGCTCGGAGCGTTGGAAGAGCTCAGGTGCATCCCTCTCCTCGCCCCGACTGCTATAGGCACTTCCTGGCGCGCCATAAGACCTCCCTGCTGGCCAGGGTCAGTGGGGGTGGAGGATCCTTGCAGGCCCTTGCACAAGCAGACACTCAGCGGGCCCAGAAGTGGGGGTGGCATGGCCCTGTAGTTTCAGGGAGTGTTCTTTCTCTCTAGGAAACTCGGTTTTCTGGGGTCTCCCTGGGGTGGCTTCCAAAGCTCACAGCTTTGGTGACAGGGCTTTGATGTAGATCTTGGTGACAGTTCCCCTGCAGGTGACTCATCCACCCTGTGCCTGCACTCTGGCTTGACTGGCCAAGGCTCTCGCTGTCCTGCAGATGCCCAAAGGGGCCCCGGGTGGTGTCCTGATGAGCCCTCCCTTTTGGCCCTGGCTGCTTCCCATTTCCTACTCTCGCACCTGTGCCCTCCCCAAGACACCCGCCCCCCCCCCCCCCGGGTCTTGCTGCCCTTACCTGGCCTCCCTGCCCTCCAGGTGCCTCCCACACACCCCCTCGCACTTTTCTGTCTGCACCCTCAGCTCTGCCGGCTTCTTGTGCGGGTTTTGGGGCCTGCGTTCCTGCCGTTTGTCTCCTGGGAGCCTGCATCTCCCAAGGCGTCATCCCAGGCCCCAGCCTGATGGGGGAGAGCCTGAGTTGGAGGGGTGGGCGGGCACTGTGCGGGCACCCCAGCGTCCTCTTTCTGTCCTCGCAGAGCGCCTCTATGTCCAACGCCGGCGTTGAGCGTCTGCTCCTGAAGGCCGTTGTGGGCTACAACGGGAACGGGCGGGCCAATGTGGTCTGGAAGCCAGATACAGGTGGGCGCGCATCCTGCTCCCAGCCCAGAAGCTGCAGGGAGGGGCCCAGCTCTGTCTGCCCTAGGACAGGCCCCAGGGAGAGCCCGTGAGCACTTGCCATCGTAAGGGGTTTGGGTGGCAGGATAGGAACAGTGCCCGAGCCAAGACGCGTTCTCCTGGTAGCCTCTTGTGTTCTGGCCTCGGAGCGGGCTCTGGAAGCAAACAGGGAAGGATGTACCCCCGGGCCCCGGCCAACTGGCTCCGGGGTGCCCTCCCTGCCCACAGGTTTCTTTGCCTACACGTGCGGCTGCCTGGTGGTGGTGGAGGACCTGCATTCTGGCGCCCAGCAGCACTGGCTCGGCCACCCCGAGGAGATCTCCACCCTGGCCCTTAGCCACGACGCTCAGGTGCCCGCCTTGCACCCTGCCCTGTACACCTAGGGCTGACGTGCAGGTCAGAGCCTGCATTCTTGAGAACCACGGCTGGCTCTCACCTCCAGAGCAGGATGGGGGATGCCGCTCCAGCCTTCTGTCCAGCCAGAACCAGGATGGGCCCGTGGGCCACCCCCTCCCTGCTGACAGCCTGCCCTCCTGCCCGCCAGGTCCTGGCCTCTGCCTCGGGCTGCAGCGGCACCACCTCCCGCTGCCACATCCGCATCTGGAATGTGCCGGGGGGCTCCTGCCGGCACCTCATTTCTTACCACAGTACCGCGGTGCAAGCCCTGGCATTTTCACCAGATGATGAGCTCCTTGTCACACTGGGTCAGTTGGGGTGTGGTGAGGACAGTGGCCTCTGGACTTCCCTGCCTGTGTTGGGACTCCTGGGCAGCTGATGCAGCTAGCATGTGCCTTCGCCAGGGGACTACGGGGACCGCGCTCTGGCCCTGTGGAGCATGGCCACCTATGAACTCCTGTCCTCCACCCACCTCCCCGCGCCCGTGCACGACGTGGCCTTCAACCCCTGGGATGCTGGCGAGCTGGTCTGCGTGGGCCAAGGTGCCATCACCGTGTGGTTCCTGCGGCAGCGTGGGACCAGCACCCACCTCCAGGTGCCAGGACTCCGAGGGTGCTCTGGAGATGGGGTCTGGCCAGGCCCCAGGACGTTGCTGACGCACGCTGCCCTTGTGTCTTGTCAGGTGCGGCAAGAGCCCGTCCCTGAGGAGGTGGGGGCGGGTGAGCTGACCTCGCTCTGCTTCGGGGCCGCACCTCTGCTGTACTGCGGCTCCAGCACCGGCCAGGTCTGCGTCTGGGACGCCCGTGCCGGCCGCTGCTTCCTGGCCTGGGACGCGGACGACGGCGAGATTGGTGGGTGCCCTGGCCTCTCCCCAGGGGACCTGGTCTCGAGCTCTGGGCTCTGGGGAAGGGGCTCATGCCACTCCTGCCTCCCAGGAGTGCTGCTGTGCTCGGGGGCGCGGCTGGTCAGCGGCAGCAACACCAGGCGAGTGCGCCTGTGGGCGGTGGGGGCCGTGCTGGAGCTGAGGTGCAAGGGCTCGCGTGCCAGGTGAGCTGCCGTGTGCGTCACTGTGCCCAGGGGTTGGGGGGTGGGTCAGGGGGGTGGTGTCCCGGACCCGGGGGTGGCCTGTGGCCTGCAGCCTGAAGACAGGGACACATCCCCGGAACACCAGGCTCCCTGGGCCGCCGCTGCCGCCACCCTTTCAATCCACTGCCCCCTACCCCCTACCCCAGGTCCAGTTCTGTGTTGATGGAGCGTGAGCTGACCTTGGACGGGGCCGTTGTGAGCGCGGTCTTCCACGACAGCATGGACATGGGCGTGGTGGGCACCACGGCAGGCACGCTCTGGTACATCAGCTGGGCCGAGGGCACCAGCACCCGCCTCATCAGTGGCCACAGGAGCAAGGTGAGGGCGTTTCCAACCTGGACAGAGGCAGGGCGGGAAGCCTCCGTGCCCTGCTCTACCCTTCCTTTCCCCGACCTGTTCCAAGTCTTAAGCCCAGCAGTCAGCAGGGTTGTGTGTGGTCCGGGAGGTCCCCGGATGAGGACAGCTTAGAGCTGCGTGCTTACCCCTTGTCCACACAGGACCCACAGGCGTCCCCACCCAGGCCTTCTGGCCTCCTCTGTCCTTTTTCTTACTTTTTTTCTTGTAATTTGTTGAAAAAATGAGCTGCTTTGTCCTGGAACCTCCCACCGGCTGGGTCAGACCTGCCTCTCGGCCCTATGTTCCCTGGGGTCCGAGAGGTCTGAAGGCGCCAGGGTCTGGTCAGGAGCTGCTTGCCTGGTGGCACTGTGCTTGTAGAATTACTCACTATTCGGGTACGACTTGCCAGTAGTGCTGGTCTGATCCTGCCCAGAAGAGATGGCCTCGGGAGCTTGCTTTCTCCGAGGTAGAGCTGAGGCAGGAGCTGCAGGGTGGGCAAGTCTCTCCCTCCTGGGCTGGGTCTCCTGAGTTCTGGCTTGGTTCCTCAGCCTCCAGCGGTGGTCTACAAGTTTGTGCGGCTCTGTGTGAGCTGCTGGATGGAAATGTGGGTCCAGCTTCCTCGTGGTCACCGTTTTTCTTGATGCTGATCCAGCCCCGTCTTTAGCCAGTGGTAGGTTCTTCGAGTTGGCTCCCGAGTCCTTTTTCTTTTTTTTTTAGTTTCTGTTCATTTGTTCAGTTATAATGGTTGCCATCAAAGAAACTTGAATTTGAGATGGGCGAGTACCGTGAGCTTCTTGTTTATTTCTGGTGACGGCTCTGTTAAGGTACAAGGTACATGTTGCCTTATTCGCTTGAAGTCTGTGGTGGTGATACCTTCACAGAATTGCACGACCGTCACCACGATCACATTTTAGGGCATTTCACCTCTCCAAAAGGAAGCCCCGTACCCTTTAAACAACCCCACCCCCGCCCCGATTCCCCTGCCCATCCCCTGGGACTCACTGACCAACTCTGATTCTGTGGACTCACCTGTTCTGGGCATCCCTGGCTGTGGGCCTTCTCTGAGCACGAAGCCTCACAGGTTTGTCTGTAGCGTAGCGTGGGTCAGTGCCAGATAGCGTTGCGTGTTCATTCGTCCGCCTGCACCCACACTCTTGGGTCCTGAGTCCTTGACTGGAGCTGATGGGCACTGGTGATTTCCCTCTCGTGTGGAAGGACAAGGTGTTCCAGGCTCCCGCTCTGCAGCTCCGCCCAGAACCAGACTTGGCTGTTCCTTCTCAGAGTCTGGGGGCCCCTCCTGTGGGAAATGGACTTAGGGGTCCGAGTGCCAGAGGGGCCAGTCGCTGCTCAGCCAAACAGCTGAATTATTTTTTTAAGTGAGCCGTATTATGAGTTTGTACTTACCCTTGAAATTCACACTCCAGGCTAGACCATTCTGTGTTCCCTCATGGGTACGTGGCCTCTGTATCTCCTTTATCCTGCGCTCTGCTGCCTGGGCTGTCTTCCTTTACCTTCCGTGTGCGGCCCTCTGGGGACATGTCATCACACATCGTCACGTCACCACTTATCAGGGCCTGCCAGGATGGTTCCTTCTGTGCTGTCTTAGCAAGTGAGCCATGAGGTTCGACTGACCGGGGGGCTTCTTATAACTCTGTGCCACCCAGGTCTTGTGTGGGGACACTTGGGAGGGAGGCCAGGATGGTTTCTTCATGCCACACGGAGGTGGATGGGGCCAGGCAGGCTGTGCGGAGATGGATACTCTCATCAGAAAGACCCACCGGGGGGCACCTGGGTGGCTCAGTCGTTAGGCGTCTGCCTTCGGCTCGGGTCATAATCCCAGGCTCCTGGGATCAAGCCCCACGTCGGGCTCCCTGCTCAGCAGGAAGCCTGCTTCTCCCTCTCCCACTCTGCCTCCTTGTGTTCCCTCTCTCACTGTCTCACTCTGTCAAATAAATAAATAAAATCTTAAAAAAAAAAAAAGACCCACCAGGGGCGCCCAGCTGGCTCATTTGGCAGAGCGTGCAGCCCTTGATCTTGGGGTTGTGAGTTTGAGCCCCATGTCGGGGGTAAAGATTATGTTAAAAAAATAGAATTTTTTGGGGCGCCTGGGAGGCTCACTCGGTTAAGCAGCTGACTTCGGCTCGGGTCATGATCCCGGGGTCCTGGGATCCAGCTCCTTGTCGGGCTCCCTGCTCAGCGGGGAGTCTGCTTCTCCTCCCTCTGTCCCTCCCTCTGCTTGTGCTGTCTCTCTCTCCCAAATAAATAAAGTCTTTGGAAAAAAAAAATATCTTTAAAAGACAGAACAGACCTGGCCCTGTTGTGTCTCCCCTGTGCCCGAGGGCCACGTGGTCTCAGCAGGGGCTGGATGGCTCCTTGCAGGTGAACGAGGTGGTGTTCAGCCCCAGTGCGTCCCACTGGGCCACATGCAGTGATGATGGGAGTGTGAGAGTGTGGTCCCTGGCCAGTATGGAGCTCCTGATCCAGTTCCAGGTGCTGAACCAGGTACTAGGGGGCACCAGGGCCGAGCCCAGACCACCTCCCAGCCCTGCCTGGCCTCCGTGTCCTCCCTCAGTGTCCATCCTAGCCTTGGGGCTGGGCCCACGTTCCCCATCCCCAGGGGAGTGCCCGTGTCTCCCTCCCTCCCTCAGAGCTGCCTCTGTCTGGCTTGGAGCCCCCCCTCCTGCGGACCCCCAGAGCAGCAGCAGGTGGTGGCTGGCTACAGTGACGGCACACTGCGTGTCTTCAGCATCGCCCGGATTGCAATGCAGCTCAAGATGCACCCCCACCGGGCTGCGCTGACGGCTGTGGCCTACTCTGCTGATGGTGAGGAGTGGGGGCCCGTGGGGCAGCTGTGTAGTCACCCGTCTGGGCTGGGGGCCAGGGGTTCACAGGGTGATGCTGTGGCCCTGGCTGGCCCAGGTCAGACCATCCTCTCCGGAGACAAGGATGGGCTTGTGGCTGTGAGCCGCCTCCGCACGGGGATGACCTTCCGTGTACTGAGTGATCACCGGGATGCTCTCATCTCCACCATCCAGAGCACGAACAAAGAGGTGAAGTGGCTTCATGAGCTGGCAGGGCCTGGCCTGGGGGAAGCTGGTGGGGGAGGGAGATTGGGTAGGGCAGGGCGGGAGGCACCCATTGGCCCTTACCCACCCCCAGTATGGAGACTTCGGAGCACAGGGTGCAGACCTGTGGCTAGCTGCCAGCTCAGACCAGCGCATCAGCATCTGGGCTGCCGATTGGCCTCGGGGCCACTGTGAGCTCGTGGACTGGCTGAGCTCCCCATCACCCACCCTCACGGAGGTAAGAGTCCCAGGGGCACCAGGGGTGGGGACCGTGCCTGCCCACCTGACCACAGCATGCTTTGCCCCTCCACAGGTTCCCAGTCATCCCCTGCCCTGTCTTGTTGCCTTCTGCCCCTGGGATGGGGCACTGCTGGTGTGTGCGGGCCTCAGCGTGCATCCAGAGGTGGTCTTCTACAACCTTCACCAGAAGCAGGCATGTGTACTGCCCACCCCCGTGTGGTGCCGGGAACCCAGGGCTGGGGAAGGGAGGCTCACACTCACTGTCCACAGGTGGTGGAGAGGATCCCACTGCCGTTCTATGCCGTGTCGCTGAGCCTGTCCCCCGGAGCCCACCTCATGGCCATTGGCTTTGCTGGTGAGTCCTGGTGGAATGGGACTCCAGCCTGTCTTGAGTGGAGCCGAGGGGACTCACCCATACCCCCACCTGAGACATACCTCTCACCTCAGTGCCCCGAGTTCCTCATCCCTGAAGTGGGGTAAGGGCACATGCCCCAGGGGAGTTGTAGGGTCAGGAGATGAGGGGCGTGGGTTGCTGATTGCAGCACCCAGCTCCAGGGCCTCAACAGAGGGACTCAGTGGCCTAGCTTAGGGCCTAACAAGCCCCATGTGGTGGGGCAGTGGGTGCTGATGGGCCCTCCCGTTAGTTTTGCTGCCCCTGGTCCCAGCTGTAGCGGGCCCTGGGATGTGGAGGACACAGGGCTTTGAGCACACATTCCTCCAGAGGTCCCGGCACCAGCACAGATTGGGGGACCCTGGGCCCCGGAGCTCCACAGACACGGGGTATGACGGGCACGCACTTCGCCTGCCCAGGCCCAGCCCGGTGCCATCTGCCCACAGAGCGTGTGCTGAGGCTGATGGACTGTGAGTCTGGGGCTGTGCAGGACTTTGCCGGCCATGACGACGTGGTGCAGCTCTGCAGGTTTGCCCCATCTGCCCGGCGGCTGCTCTTCTCAGTGGCCTACAGTGACATCCTGGTGTGGGAAGTCACAGGCCACCGGGCCTCTGGGGGGGCCTTGAGTTCAGGGCCCCCGCTTGGCTGAGAAGATGGGTCTCACCACACCAGACGGGCCTGGGACTGCCAATCATCAAGACCCTGAACTTAAGGAAAGTGCTTGTGGGCTCTTTACCTGCAGGCTTGTTTGGGGTTTCTACCTTGTAAAGTTCAAATAAACGTGGCTGTTGCATTCTGGCATCGTCAGCTGGTCACTCCAGGCGCCTGCTGCCCTGGCCTGAGCGCAGCCTCCGCCAAACCCCCAGCCTGCCCGCTCCCCGCGGAGGACCCTGCTCGGCCCGGGTCTGGGCGGGGCCTGCGATGCCCAGTGTGCCCGCGCAGTGGCGCCGCTGCACAGCCGGGACGCTCTGGCCCGCCCGGCTCGTTAGTGTGGCTCCGCGAGCGAGGGCCGGAAGTGCGGGTGGGGGCCGGAAGTGCGGGCGAGTGGGAGAACGCTGGTCGGGGCCGGGGCTGGGGCCGGGGCCGGGGGCCGGGGCCGGGGCCGGGGCCGGGGTACGCCTAGCCGCCATGAAGCGGGACGTGCGCATCTTGCTCCTGGGCGAGGGTAGGCGACGGGCTGGGGAGCCGGGTCGGGGCCAGGGTCGGGCTGGAGTGGGGAGGGGGCGCGGCGATCGTGGCCATGCGCTGACCGCGCCGCCCCGCGCAGCCCAGGTGGGAAAGACGTCGCTGATCCTGTCGCTCGTGGGCGAGGAGTTCCCCGTGGAGGTAAGAGGCGAGCGCGGCCGCAGCCCTTGGTGCTCGGCCCTCGGTGCTCGGCCCCCGGCCGCCCTCACGCCGCGTTCCCTGCAGGTCCCTCCCCGCGCCGAGGAGATCACCATTCCCGCAGACGTCACCCCGGAGAAGGTGCCCACCCACATCGTGGACTACTCAGGTAGAGCGGGCCGCTCGTGCTTCCCCCCAGGGGATGGGGGTAGGCATTCGGGCAGGTTCCACAGTCAGAGTCTCTCTGCAGAAGCCGAGCAGACGGCCGAGGAGCTCCAGGACGAGATTCACAAGGTACACTGTGTTCTGAGGGCTGAGACCCCGGCTGCCGCCTTCCAGGGATTAGGTTAAGGTGCTCAGGGTGTGTGAGGTCTCACTAATCCTGCCGTGACTCCTCAGCGCTGCCACTTGTCAGGTTCCCTGGGCTCACCCTGCAGGGAGCTGGGGAGGAGAGGGACCTTGCTTCCCACATGGCCGGTCAGCTCCATGGCTCTGTGCACCCATTGTTTGTCTTTCTGCTGGATCCTGGGCAACAGCTTCTGGTGTTCTCCAAAGTGACCGCTTACTCAGTTCTGTGCTCTGGCTACGTGTACCGCCATCCCGTAGTCCAGTGCAGTGCTCTGAGCCTCTGGATCGTAGCGGGTGCCGTGCTTCTCTGTTATCAGGAAGACGTGTGCCTGCATCGAGCTCCCCGGGGGAGCTTCTGCTGTGTCCTGGGGCATCGCTGGGCCAGGGTAAAGGCCACAGCTACCCAGCCGCCTTGTCACCATCATCCCTTGTGGTGTCCCTGTCACTTACTCTGCCTGAAATGACACGGGAATGCAGGGCTGGGGCCAGGGTGCCAAGTTCTAGGGGTGGCGCTGTTTGTCCTGAGCCTCCCAGGGGACCCATCAGAGCTGCCATGCTCAGGCCTGGCAGCTCCAGTGGAACCGGACAGGGGAGGGCTTGTCAGGTTGGAGCAGCTAATGGTGGCTGGGGCACATTGGCTGGAGAGGTGTTCAAGAGGGGTGGGGTTCCAAGGTGTCTGGCCCCATCAAGGGCGGCGTGGAGCAGGAAGCCTGTGGTCATGTCGTGCCTCACCCCCTTTCCCATAGGCAAACGTGGTGTGTATGGTGTACGACGTGTCTGAGGAGGCCACCATTGAGAAGGTGAGGGCAAGAGCTCCTTCTGCACCCCAGGTCCTTGTTGCTGGCACCCAGCTCCGTGTTGTCCTCTGAACAGACTCCAGATGGACACCCAGCTGACCGAGGCTCTGGGCACTGGGGGCCTGTAGGCAGGAACCCCACAGCTTCCCCAGGGAGCTCCTGTGGTCTTGCCTTCCCACAAAGCACGTGGGTGGTTAGAAGTCTGAACCACTCAGGTCTGTGGAAGGGGCTGCCTTGGGCTGCTGAGTCCGGGCCCCTTGGGGGTGTTTGGGAACTGCTAGGATCAGATGAGGTGCCACCTGCTGACTGTTCTCTCCAAGTGGCCACATTCCCAGTGCCTAGGACTTTGTTTCTCAGTGGGCCTTGACCTCCCTGCGTCCAGGCACGAGTTCCAGGAGGGAGCCGTGAAGACAAGCAGGCCTCTGTCCTCACGGCTAGCCCTTGCTTTTCAGATACGAACCAAGTGGATCCCACTGGTGAATGGGGAGACTGAGAGGGGCCCCAGGTAATGGGCAGGGCCCAGGTGGGTGGGCCCCGCCAGCTCCCCATCCTTGGTGACCATAGGCCTCTCCCCCAGAGTCCCCATCATCCTGGTGGGCAACAAGTCGGACCTGCGGCCCGGGAGCTCGATGGAGGCTGTGCTGCCCATCATGAGCCAGTTCCCTGAGATCGAGACGTGCGTGGAGGTGCGTGGGCAGGTGCCCGTGTGCCGCTGGCCTCAGCTGTGGGCTTGCGGACCTCCCCAGGTCTCCTGGAAGACACCCCATGCCTGCTTCTTCTGGGGGGCCCCTTTGAGTTTTGTGGTACTGGTCACGTGTCTGAGTCTGTTCCTGCGGCCACCAGTGCTCTGCCAAGAACCTGAGGAACATCTCGGAGCTGTTCTACTACGCGCAGAAAGCAGTGCTGCACCCCACGGCCCCGCTCTACGACCCCGAGGCCAAGCAGGTGGGCGGCAGGCACCGGGGAGGTGGCCAGGCCGGCGGGAGTGGTGGCATGGGGTGCGTGCTGAGCTGGCTGTCCCTGCAGCTGAGGCCCGCGTGTGCCCAGGCCCTCACGCGCATCTTCAGGCTCTCAGACCAGGATCTAGACCAGGCGCTCAGTGACGAGGAGCTCAACGCTTTCCAGGTGCGGTCCCCTCTGCTGGTGCTGCCCGTGCTTCGAGGGCACAGCCTCAGGTACCCTTAGTGACGCTGAGCAGTCACTGAGGCGGCTGGCTGGCTGATGGCGACTTTCCCTCGGGGGCAGAAATCCTGCTTTGGGCACCCACTGGCCCCTCAGGCCCTGGAGGATGTGAAGATGGTGGTGTGCAAGAATGTGGCAGGAGGTGTGCGGGATGACCGGCTGACCCTGGACGGTGAGTCCTGTTGCCCTGCCGTGCCCTGGGAGCAGGAAGGGGGCCAGGCTGTGCTCGGTGCTACCTGCTTTTCTGTCTCTTTGGGAACAGGCTTTCTTTTCTTGAACACGCTGTTTATCCAACGTGGCCGCCACGAGACCACGTGGACCATCCTGCGACGCTTCGGCTACGGAGACACACTGGAGTTGACCCCTGACTACCTTGACCCACCGTGAGTGGTGGATGGGGCTCAGCCTCCCTTCTCAGTGTCAGGCGGGTGCCTGGAGACTCTTCCACCTGCAGTGGGGGCCCTTGGGATTGGGCCTCGACGGCCTTTCTAGGAGTGGTCTCGCTGTGGGTGGTCAGGATAGGACGAAGCAGATGGCCCCCTGCAGGCCCCAAATGTATTCCTGTCTGCTCTCCTGCCGTGGTGCTCAGCTGAGGGGGCAGCACAGGAGCCTCCCTGTGCCGAGACCAAGACACGGGTGGTGTGGGGAGCCTGGTGGGCAAGGGGCTCCCCTGGGAACCAGACAGCCCCCGCATTCCCCACAGGCTCTACGTGCCCCCAGGCTGCAGCACCGAGCTCAACCACTTTGGCTACCAGTTTGTGCAGAGAGTGTTTGAGAAGCATGACCAGGTAAGGGAGTCATGATCTCCACCCTGCACCACCCCCGATCCCACCAGCCTCCAGGTACATGTCACTGCGGCGCCTCTGCTCCCAGGACCGTGATGGCTGCCTCTCGCCTGCAGAGCTGGAGAGCTTCTTCAGCGTGTTCCCCACTGCCCCCTGGGGCCCCCAGCTGCCTCTCGAGGTGTGCACCAAGGCTGGCCGGCTGTCTCTGCATGGGTACCTCTGCCAGTGGACGTGAGTTCAGCCCCTGCCTGCGGGAACACTGGCTGTGCTGGCTGCTCGGCCGTGACCCCATCCCTTCCACCCCCAGCCTGGTGACCTATTTGGACGTCCGGCGCTGTCTTGAGCACCTTGGTTACTTGGGCTACCCGACCCTCTGCGAGCAGGACTCCCAAGCCCACGCCATCACAGGTGGGTGCCTGCCCCTGCCCTGAGCCCAGCTCCTCCCTGGCAGCCCCCTTGGTCACACTCACCCCGGCTCTCCATCCCCAGTCACTCGTGAGAAGAGGCTGGACCAGGAGAAGGGGCAGACGCAGAGGAACGTTCTCCTGTGCAAGGTGGTGGGAGCCTGCGGAGTGGGCAAGTCTGCCTTCCTGCAGGCCTTTCTCGGCCGCGGCCTGGGGGTGAGCATCTGCATGGGCCCGGGGAGGCGGGGGCAGCTCTGGACAGCATCCGGGCCAGCAAGCTTCAGGCATCTCCCCGCTCTGCACCAGGATGCCGGGGAGTTTGCCGAGGAGCATGCCGTCTATGCCATCAACACGGTGCAGGTCAACGGGCAGGAGAAGTACCTGATAGTGAGTGCTGGGGTCCCCGGGTACACCCTGGGTCTGCGCTGGGCGGGGCTATCTCAATGTGGCCCACAGGGCTGACCCTGCACCCCTCCCTGAGGCCACTCTTTGTCTAGCTGTGCGAGGCGAGTGCAGACAGCCTGCTGGCCACGGCGCCCGATGCCACCTGTGACGTGGCCTGCTTGATGTTCGATGGCAGCGACCCCGGGTCCTTTGCGCTGTGCGCTGACGTCTACAAGGCAAGGCACCCCGCACCCCCACCCCAGGTCCCTCTGGGGCAGTCCGCGCGCCTCGGCCCCCCGGGACGGCACCCTCATGCAGCCCCCCTCTCTGCAGCGCCACTACATGGACGGGCAGACCCCCTGCCTCTTTGTCTCCTCCAAGGCAGACCTGCCTGAAGGCATCTCGCCACCTGGGCTGTCGCCCACGGAATTCTGCCGCAGACACCGGCTGCCTGCCCCTGCCCCCTTCTCGTGTGTTGGCCCGGCCAGGCTCAGCACTGCTGTGTTCACCCGGCTCGCCGCCATGGCCGCTTGCCCGTGGGTACCCGCACACAGCCCTGCGGTGGGAGGCCAGGCCCCGTCTAGGGAAGCAGTCATCCCCGTTGCCCGGAGAGCAGGGCAGCTGTAGCGTGGGCCCAAGTCCCGCTGGCAGCCCCATGCGGGCAGAGCGCAGCCCCAGGAGGTGGGGTGGGGGCTTGGGCAGCGGCATCTGCCCCCAGCCCACCTCTCTGTCCTGCAGACACCTGGCCCCTGGCGAGCTGCCCCCCACCTCCTTCTGGCTACGAGTGACGCTGGGGGTTGTTGGAGTTGCCGTCACCGCCGTCCTCAGCCTCTCACTCTTCCGGGCCCTGCTGAAGAGCCGATGAGGCCTCAGGGGCCCCCATGGTGCTGGTGTGGAGGTCACCTGCTCGAGGGGCCTGCCTTCTGTCGGGGACACCTGGCCCGCCTCCCTGCCTGAGCCCCAGGGCCAGCCTCCAGTTCCCGGTAGCCTGTGTCCCTACCCAGCTGCAGGTGCCAAGCATCACCCACTTTGGGTGTCATGTGTTGAAGGGACTGGGCATCATGGATGAGGAAGCCAGTGACCCAGACCCAAGTATTCTCAGGGCTCCGGTCCTCTCTGGTCCCAGGCAGCCAGTAGGCATGAAGGGGGCCAAAGGTGGGGGTGGGGGAAGGACATGGTTAACACGGCCTCCCTCTCCTCCCTGGTTTGGAGATGGGCCCAGCACTTCACCCCTCCCAGAAGACATGAGGTGGGGTCTCCTGATTAAACTTCACTTGTGTCTTTTGCACCTGGGATCCTGCTTTCTGAAGATGACGTTTCTTGAATCCACTAAAACACGTCTTTTGTCTCAGCATGGGCTGGAAACCTTACTCCTGAGCCCCACACCTCCCGTCCAGGCCTGGGTCCCCATTCTGCAGTCTCCCTCGGGGCCCTGCTGCTCTCCAGGAGCCTCTGCATCCATCCAGGTCCATACCGGCCTGAGGGGTTCTGATATGCAAGACCCTTTTGATGGCTGCCCTGCCCCCCAAAGCTCAGCATCCCAGTAGCCTGGCTGAGGTGTGCTGAGGGTCTGGGACTCTGGCATGGGACTGGGGTGTGCCCAGATGCCCAGCTTCTGGTGTGCAGGGTTGGTCTGGCCTGAAAAATCTGCCATGTTTTCTCACACCCTGACCAGAGGCCTCGTCTTGGACTGAGGAGGGTGCCCAGTGTGGGGCCTGGGCATCTACTCAGTGTGTGTTTTGGGGCCTGGAGCGGAGAGCCTGCGGTGTGGCTGGGCGCTCCCTGCCTGCCATCGGCCCTTCTCTGCGAGGCAGCCTTCCCCAAGCTCTGAGGGGCTATTTGTGGGAGGTTGGGGGAGCTTCCTGCTCCACAGGGACGCTCCAGCCTGACACACAAGGTCTGGTGTTGACCCTGAAGTTGTCCTTGCACCAGCCTCCCAGCGCTGCTGGCCTGGTCCCGTGGGTGTGCTGCTCACCCGCTTTAGGGTGGGGCTGGACGCTCCTTCTGGCCAGTGGTTCCTCCTGAGGCCCAACGGCCCCAGTGTTGACTGGCATCAGGATTTTGAGTGACCCTTGAGGAGCTTGCTGTGATGACACATCCCCATGGTCTCTGTCACCTCCATCCCTGGAGGGGTCTGCTTGCCCTCCCCAGGAAGCAGGGACCCTTTCCTATCCCAGCTGCAGCCCTGTGTGTTGGGGTCTCTGCACCATTGCCCAGGGGTCTGCCTAGGCTCCCCATGAACTCCCGGAACTGGAGGTCTCACTGTCCAGCATTGAGCCTGCAGGAGCGGTCAGGGGTCTCCAGTCTCAGGTGGGTGCTGTGGATTGGTGCCTGCGCACTGAGCGGGGACGGCTGCACCAAGCCTACCCCACGGACCCCTGCTAGTTGCCTTGTCGGTTTGGTGCCCACATGGTGGGGCCCTGGTGCCTTGCCGCCAGCAAACAAGCATGTCTGGCAGGCCAGCTGGCACTTTCAGGGAACTCTGGCCTGAGAATCACAGGCAGTGAGGAGGTGGCCTCAGCGCTCAAGTCCCAAGCAGAGGGGCTCCCGAGGGAGGGAGGTGGGGTGCTGCGCCGTGACTCAGTTTCCCAGCCGCTGTCCACGCTTGACGAACAGCCCCAGCCCGGAACGGGAAGGCGATGAGGCGGGCGGCGAGACCCAAGCTCCGGTCGGGGCCGTTCCTTCCTGGGGCGCGTCCGCATGCGGGGCGCGCGCGTGTCCTGACCGCGCGTGGCGGGGCCGGCGGCGGCAGCGTGCGCGCACGGGCGGGCGGCTCCGGCTCCGCGACGCGGCGCCAAACGGAGCGGCGGAGCGGGCGGGCCGGGGCGGAGCGGAGTCGTCCGCAGAGCAGCCCCTTCCGGCCGCGGCCGCCGACCCCGGCCCCCGGCCTCGCCTGGCTCTATGGACAGGAGCTCGTTGCTGCAGCTTATCCAGGAGCAGGTGCGTGGCGTGGCGTGGCGTGGCGTGGGTGGGTGGGTGGGTGGCGCCCGCACAGCCCCCGCTGCAGCCCTCCGCCGCTGGACTGGGCCGAGGCGACGGAGCTCCCAGAGAGCCGCGGTCCAGTCCCGCCGCTCGGCGCCTACTCTCAAGCCCCCTCCCACGACCTTGGCCCCTGCCTGAGACACTCCGGGAGAGGGCGAGCCAGATCAGGGTCCCTGGGGAGGTATAGAAGGGAGGGAGATTGTCCTCAGACCTTGGCCCTACCCTTCTAGGAGGATGGGCAGGGCATAAATGAGGTGGGGAGCCCCCTAAGAGCTAGAGCCCTGGGACCCAGGCACTGGTGCCCTGGCAGCTCCTGGGACCGTGTGGGTGCAGAGGTCTGGCCCCAGGGTGCTTGGAGCCTGCCTCTCCCAGCTGGCCTGGCCCAGCCCTGTGGCCTAGAAGCCTGACCCACTCTCAAGCCTTGGCCGATGGCCCCCCCCACCCCAGCAGCTGGACCCTGAGCACACAGGTTTCATCGGTGCGGACACCTTCACCGGCCTGGTGCACAGCCATGAGCTGCCCCTGGACCCGGCCAAGCTGGACATGCTGGTGGCCTTGGCCCAGAGCAACGAGCGGGGCCAGGTCTGCTACCAGGAGCTGGTGGACCTGGTCAGTGCCATAATGGGCGGACAGCAGGGGTAGGGGCCTAGGCCTTGGCAGGCACAGTGCCTGGCCAGAGTGGGGTGGGCAGGCAGCCCCCACTCCCTGCCCTTCCCACCAGGGAGGAGTGTGGACTTGGGGCAGGGACTCAGACTCTACCAGGAGCTGGGTGGGCCAAGGGGACAGGGGGGCTGGGGGGGGGGGGGGCGGGGAGTATGGTGGCCCGTGCTTAGGGCCGCCCCCCTCCAGATCAGCAGTAAACGCTCAAGCAGCTTTAAGCGGGCCATCGCCAATGGACAGAGGGCACTGCCCCGGGACGGGCTGCTGGATGAGCCAGGCCTGGGTGTCTACAAGCGGTTTGTGCGCTACGTTGCCTACGAGATCCTGCCTCGAGAGGTGGACCGCCACTGGTACTTTTACAGACACCGCAGCTGCCCACCCCCCGTGTTTATGGCCTCAGTCACCCTTGCCCAGGTGTGCCCACTTGTCTGCCACCCAGGAGCCGCCCACGGGCCTGGCCCTGCCTGGCCCTAACGCCTCTCCCTCCCAGATCATCGTGTTCCTGTGCTACGGGGCTCGTCTCAACAAGTGGGTGCTGCAGACCTACCACCCTGAGTACATGAAGAGCCCCCTTGTGTACCACCCTGGCCACCGCGCTCGAGCCTGGCGCTTCCTCACCTATATGTTCATGCATGTTGGGTGAGTGGGGGCCCACCGCCGGCATCCCTCTGATGGAGTCAGAACTCAGTCCCTCGAGTCAGGGACTGGTGGCCTGACACCTGACCTTACATCTGTTTACACCCACATGGCTAGCCTGGAGCAACTAGGGTTCAACGCGCTCCTGCAGCTGATGATTGGGGTGCCCCTGGAGATGGTGCATGGTCTGCTCCGCATCAGCCTGCTCTACCTGGCCGGTGTGCTGGCAGGTGAGGCAGGCACGTGCCCCCTGGCCATCATGCTGGTGAGCCTCACCCTCATGGCTCTCCCTTTGCTCACACAGGCTCCCTGACTGTCTCCATTACCGACATGCGGGCCCCTGTGGTGGGGGGCTCTGGTGGGGTCTACGCCCTGTGCTCGGCACACCTGGCCAACGTCGTCATGGTAATAGGGCAGACTGCGGGGTGGGTGTGGGGAGGGGCCCACAAGGCCTGCCTCACAGCCTCTGTCTCACGCCCCATCAGAACTGGGCTGGGATGAGGTGTCCCTACAAGCTGCTGAGGATGGTGCTGGCCTTGGTGTGCAGTAAGTAGTGGGTCAGGGGGCTGGGGGGCCTCAGCCTAAGGCCAGGGTGCCTCCCACCTGCCACCTTTCTCTGCAGTGAGTTCCGAGGTGGGCCGGGCCGTGTGGCTCCGCTTTTCCCCACCACTGCCTGCCTCAGGCCCCCAGCCCAGTTTCATGGCACACCTGGCAGGTGCAGTGGTAGGGGTCAGCATGGGTCTGACCATCCTGCGCAGCTATGAGGAACGCCTGCAGGACCAGTGTGGCTGGTGGGTGGTGCTGCTCGCCTATGGCACTTTCCTGCTTTTTGCCATCTTCTGGAACATCTTCGCCTACGACCTGCTGGGCGCCCACATCCCTCCACCACCCTGATGGGCTTCCCAGGGCCACACGGGCCAGGGCACAGGTGTATGTGGGCTGGCCACCAGGCGAGTCTGCATGTCCACCCTCTGTGAATGTACATCTCAAGACTGCTTCTCCTCTGTGGGGGCTAGGCAGCCCCTGTAACTCACTGAGTCCAGGCCAAGCCTTACATCAGCCCTGGCCGCCCCCTCCCAGGCATGGGGAGGTAGGACTGCCTAGCCAGGCAGGGGAGGTCCCCAGGTGTGGCCCCAGAGGAGACCCTGCCCTGGCCTCTCCCCCACGATTTGCGGTCTGAGCCTTTTTGGAGAATGAATAAATATTTTACACTGCAGCAGGTGGCTGTACCGGGGCTCTGGGGGCTGGCCGGCCTCCCTCCCACTCACTGAACAGACTGCGGACATGTGGACAGCCTGAGCTTCCCCCTTCTCCTCTGCACTGGTACGAGATGGGTGTGTGTGTGTGTGTGTATGTGTGAGAAAGATGAGTGTGGGGAGAAGCTGGGGTCCTCACAGTCAAGTGTGAGTTCAGCAAGCATTTACTGACATCCTACAGCAGCCAGCCTCTTGCTTGGACAGCCCGCCCTCCAGAGAAACCTGTGGCCTGAGGTTGTGGGCAGGTGAGCAGGCCCTGGGCCACAGCCAAGTTCAGGCAGCCTGCGTTCTGCATTTCTTGGCTTGCAGTGGTGTCCTCAGGAATGGCCGGGCTGGGACCAAGGCCGGGCAGCAGGTCAGGGCACAGCTTCTGCCCCACAGGCCATGTCCGTACTGCTGTCTCCACATGGTGAGGGGTCCACAGCCCTGAGGGACTGCCTAGGGAGGGGCAGAGGGAGGCTGGGGCCCAGGGACATTGGCCACTCGATCCTCCCGTACAGCTCTGCATACTGCACCCTTGCCTCACCTCTGCTGAGGGTGTACTGCGGCCACTTGCGCGGTGGGACACGAAGGCTGCCGCCTCCGGAGCCTCTGCAGCCAGGACTCGTGCCCTACCAGGGTCTGGACAAGCTCGGCATAGGGCTGCCCTTCCCAGGGACCCCCAGCGTCATGGACATGGCCATGGGCCCATTTCACAGGCAAGGACACTAACCGGCCAGATCCGGCCCGCTAGCCCGCGACCCCGCAGGGCGCCCAGCTCTCCCGGCTAATCCGGCCCGGGGTGGGTTCGGGGGTCACGGGTGGTGGACCTCACCAAGCGGACGCGCACCACGAGGAGGCTCCGCCCACGCCGCCAGGCCCCGCCCCGCACGTGGGAAGCCCTCACCACCAGCTTCCACGCCCGCGGCCGCTCCAGCTCGTTTCGTGTCACGTGCTTCTCCGCTCGGCCCTCGATGGCCGCGGTCACTCCTCTCGGTGCCTGGGGAAGGGCGGTGACGGAGACTCGGACAACGGGGGTCGTCCGCCCTACTGACCGCCCCCCCCGCCCTATCATCGGTCGAAGGCTTCCAGCCGCCCCTGGCGGTCCGCGCGCGCCCACAGCACCTCCCCGTTGCAGCCAGGACGGCGGCCCGGCGGCTCCAGGCCTCACAGGCCCGCAGCCCGCGTGCAGCCGCCATGTTCGCGCGCAGGGCGGGGCCTCGGCGGGGTGGAGCGGAGAGCTGTCGGGCCGCGGTCCTGGCGCTGCTCCGGACTTCGACGTCGCGGGTCGCTTTGCCTCGAGCGTATGCTCCCAACGGGCTCCGCCCCCTTCCCCCACCCTCTCCCCCACCCTCTCCCCCACCCCTCCCCCGCGGCCCGTCAAACGCATGCGTGTCCCCGCCCACTGCGCGTCCGCCCGCCCCGCTGTCCCCGCCCCGCGCGGCCGGAAGTTCCGGTGGCGGATCGCTGGACCGGGCCCGAGCGGATCGGGGGCTCGGGCTGTGGGCTCGGGCTGCGGGCGTAGGGCGGGCCAGACGCGGAGCCTGGGAGCGAAGCCCAGGCTGTGCCGCGCGGCACCATGAAGGGCAAGGAGGAGAAGGAGGGCGGCGCGCGGCTGGGCGCCGGCGGCGGAAGCCCCGAAAAGAGCCCGAGCGCGCAGGAGCTCAAGGAGCAGGGCAACCGGCTCTTCGTGGGCCGCAAGTACCCGGAGGCGGCGGCCTGCTACGGCCGCGCCATCGTGAGTGCGCCCGCGCCGGGGGAAGGGACCGGCGTCCGGGCCAGGGGAGGGGGCGGGGCCCGGGCTTCGGCCCCGCGTCCTCCCCGGAGCCCCTGCCCGGCCATTCCCGCCGGACCTTCGGAGGCTCTTGGTTCGTACGCGTGGGCGTTTGGGCCTTGAGAGCTCAGTGATGATCTTGTTTCAGTCGGGTCAAGGCCGCGGCTCTCGAGCCACTGCTGCCTGCTGGAGAAGTGTGGCGGGTGGGAGCTTCAAGGTGTTTGAGGCCCCCAGACCGAGGACCAGGGATCCTTGTCCCTTGAGAACCCCAGGCCCAAAACTGGGGATCTCCACAGGTCTTGGAAATTTAGGTTTCCAAGACCTGCTGGGAGTCAACAGGGGGTGGGTTCATGCAGGCCTCGGGAGCGGGAGTTTATTCTCCACCAGTCCTCAGTACGCAGGGGCTTTGAAGCTGAGAAGTTTCTGGTGTCTTGATTCTAGCCGTGGGCTCTAAACTGGGCCTAGGACAGGGCCTAGGACGGAGAAGGGGGACAGAGCTCACTCCCTCATGCTGGCTGGCCTGGCCTTGGTCCCCAGACCCGGAATCCCCTGGTGGCAGTGTACTACACCAACCGGGCATTGTGCTACCTGAAGATGCAGCAGCATGAGCAGGCTCTGGCAGACTGCCGGCGGGCTTTGGAACTGGACGGGCAGTCTGTGAAGGCACACTTCTTCCTGGGGCAATGCCAACTAGAGATGGAGAGCTATGATGAGGCCATTGCCAATCTCCAGCGAGGTGGGCATACAGGTTGTCAGGTTACAGGGGTGCCTGGGATCGGGTGGATGGACTGGCCCGGTGACCTGAAGCCCCTATTCCCCCAGCCTACAACCTGGCCAAGGAGCAACGGCTCAACTTCGGGGATGACATCCCTAGCGCTCTGCGCATCGCTAAGAAAAAGCGCTGGAACAGCATCGAGGAGCGGCGCATCCACCAGGAGAATGAGCTGCACTCCTACCTCACTCGGCTTATTGTGGCCGAGCGGGAGAGGTGGGCTGTGGTAGTGGCAGGCTCCAGGGCCCCACCCACCCCCAAGTCAGCACTCCGGGGTTAACTCTGAGTCAAGAACACAAGTGTTTATTGAAGGCCAACACTGGCAAGCAGGAGATGGAGGGAAGCGAGACCTGAACGAGCCCAAGGTTGGGGTGGAGTGTGATCTCTTCTGGCCAGACCCATTTCTGACTAGCTCCTGGTCGACCCCCAGGGAACTAGAAGAATGTCAGCGGAACCATGAGGGTGATGAGGACGATGGCCACATCCGGGCCCAGCAGGCCTGCATCGAGGCCAAGCACGTGAGGGTGCCCCAGCCCACGTGTGGATGTGTGCGTGTTTGTGTGCCTGTGACGGGAGGGTGCCTGTGCCAGGGGAAGGGGGATGGGACATCTGGCCCACGCGTAGCTGCTTGGTTCTTCGCAGGACAAGTACTTAGCAGACATGGATGAGCTTTTCTCCCAGGTGGACGAGAAGAGAAAGGTACGTTGTCTGTCCTCTGGGTAGCAGGAATTAGAGCAGTGTCCCTGTCCTGGTGCCTGACTTCACCCCATGTGCTGCAGAAGCGAGACATCCCAGACTACCTGTGTGGCAAGATCAGCTTTGAGCTCATGCGGGAACCGTGCATCACACCTAGCGGCATCACCTATGACCGAAAGGACATTGAGGAGCATCTGCAGGTGAGGGCTCACAAAGTGTTGGGAGCAGGACCCATAACCACTGAGCACTTTCTGACCCTGTTGTCACTGCACACTGCAGCGCGTGGGCCACTTTGACCCTGTCACCCGGAGCCCCCTGACCCAGGAACAGCTCATCCCCAACCTGGCCATGAAAGAGGTCATTGATGCTTTCATCTCCGAGAACGGCTGGGTGGAGGACTACTGAGGCCGGGCAAGGGCCAGGGCTGCCCGCCTTGCCTAATGCTCTGGCCCAGGAGGGCTTTGGAGCAGTAGCTCCAGTCCCTGTACATAGTTGGTGTCCCTAGATCCCTGCCCTGGTGTCCCCAACCCCCCCCATCAGTTCTGCTGCTGGACTGTGAGCCCCACCTCCATCCCCATCTGGGCCAGAAACAGCAGGTGAGGGTGGGCTGCTGCCACCACTGTCCTGTAATAAAATCTGTGAGCACTCTAGGAGTGTGCGCTGGTGTGTGCTGGGCTCACCAGCCGCCCACTCTGGCTAGCTGAGGAAGGTAGAGATGAAAACACTGGTGTCCAGGTTGAGCGTGGCATGCCACCACCGGTCTGGGAAATACAGCACCTGCTGGGAGGTGGGGGTGGGGCACAGGGATTAGTTGATGGCGTCTGGTCCAGCCTGGCCCCTTCTGCCACCTACTGACCTCACCAGCCTGGACAGTGCACTCCAAGGGCCTCGCAGATGATGTCAGGGTTGGGTACACGTCCTGAAGCCAGGCCAGCGTGGTTTTGTTGGGATGGAACTCTGGTGTCTTCTCAGGGGGGTATAGGAACCAGCGCTGAGGATGGGAGCAATAAGGTCACTCTGTTGCAGTCAGTAAGCCCCAAGCCCCAGCCCCCGCCCCCATCCTGTGCTGACCTTGCGGCCGTAGATCACCTCTGAGAACCCGGGCCCATGCCAGTGGAAGGGCACCCCAGAACCAGCTCCTGTGGGATCATTTATGAGCAGCTGCTGAGGCAACCCAACTTACAGTCTCCTCTTCCCTTCCAAATCCCCTTTGCAGGGTACCCACCTGCAATTCCAAAGCTGTAAGCAGTAGTGGTACCCAGCAGACTAAATGGTGGTGGGGAGTAGTGTTGAAAGAGCGATGCCCATTCGCTGAAATTGTTGTCCCCAAAGAAATACAAGGTGTCTGCCAACAAAGAACACCGAGGCACAGAGATCTTGGTACCTGGGTGCCCCCATCCCAGCCCATGGCCAACCAAATCAGACTCACCGTTGCCCAGGGAGGTAGGGTCCTGGGGATACAGCAAATGCTCCACATACTCCTGAAAGGGCAGGTCCACTGCAGGAAAGAAGCTGATAAGGACTGGCTGAAGCTACCTGCAAGATGCTGACAAGCAGGCTAGGCCGCAGGGTGGGGCAGCTCACCTTTCCGGTAGGAGTAGGTATTGGCAGTGCTCAGCCGTACCACGTTGTCCCCAAAGGAGTCCAGTAGCCTTTCTCGGGAGCACAAGGCCCGGAACCTCTGAGGAGGTGGGGAAGACACTCAAGGGCCAGGCCCAGCGCGGGTGACAAGTGGCCAGGAGGGGCGCCAGCACTCACCGAGTTGTCTGTGAGCCCCTGCAGGATGACGGGTCTGGAAAAGGCGTAGCTGGAAGGGCAGAGTCACGGCCAGGTCTCAGCCTCGCCCGTCCGCGTTAGCTCAAAGGAGGGCGTGGGGGTGGACTAGGGGAGCCCGAGCGGATGGGTAGGCAAAGAAGGGAGTGGGGACAGCAGCGCTCCGGGGGACACGCACTGAGGTGTGGGACGGGTGGCCAGTGGGAGGGGACGCACGTACTGCTGCACGAACTCGGAGTAGCTGAGGTCCGCCCGACGCTCCACCGCGCAGCGCTGCTCCTCCGCCAGGGCCGCCGGCGCCCCGGGCCCGCGCCGCTGCCTGCGGGCACAGCGGGTCAGCGGCCTGCCGCGCCCCGGCCCGCCCCGGCCCGCCCCGGCCCGCCCCGGCCGCCGGCGCCGCTCACCACCCTCCATCGCCCGCCTCCCCGGCGCTGCGCCGGGCCAGAACAGCCAGCGTCCACACCGCCAACAGGAACCGCAGCCGCGCCCCCGGTGCCATGAGCCCGCCGCCGCGAGGCATGCCGGGAATTCCATCGTCGCGGCAAAGGCGCCAGCCCCGCCCCGGAAGCAGTTCCTTTGTCCCGCCCCGGAAAGGAGGTTTTTTTCGGAAGGCGGTGCGAAGGCCGCGGGAGAGGGGTTAGCGGCCGCTGCCAGTTCCCATGGCGACGCTGCCACCCACCCACCGGAGTCGCCAGGCGCGGGGCGTGGGCCATCGGCGGCGCGAGCGGCGGGGGATAGGCAGCCTCAGACTGCGGCTCTTGCTTCCTTTATTGGCTTGCCACGCCCAGCCCCTCCCGCCCCGAGCCCAGCGCGGGCGGGTCAGGAGTACTCGCACAGGTGGCCGCAGCCCGCGGGGCAGTGGGAGCTGCCCTCCAGCCACTTCATGATGTGCTGCAGGTGGCCGCCGTGGCTGCAGCCCTGGCACCACACGAACAGACCCTTAACCACGTGGTGGCACACGGCGCACATGCTGGCGCAGCGGTGGCACCGGTCACAGACCCAGCCGCGGCTGCTCATGGGCCGCTTGCAGTGGCTGCAGTTGACGTGCAGAGTGGTGGACGCCTGGTTGAGGCAGCTGATGGCGCGGCTGGTGCTGAGCTTCACCACCTGGTTGGACACGTTCCAGAGACAGAAGCGCTGCAGCAGGTCGATGTAGGACGTGTACCAGTGCTCCTGGTGGGGAGGGGAGGGAGGCAGAGGTCTGGAGGTGGGCACCCTGGGGGGGCGCTGGGGGTGGGCAGGGAGGCCCTTCCCCGTCCCAGTCACCCACCTGCGTCTGCTCGTCGATGTCCTTGCGCACGCGCTCGCCCAACACGATGAGCACGGACACAGCCATCTGCACGTCACCCTGCTCGGCATAGAAGCGCAGCATGTCACACACCAGGGCGCTGAAGAAGTCAGGGGGCAGCCGGGTGTCATGGAGAGCATGTGAGACGGAGAGGAGCGAGAAGGAGGAGTCCACGGGCGCCAGGGAAGCCACGTCAGCCTCGCTGCCGCTCACGTGGGGCGAGTCGGCCTTGTCCTGCAGGTGCTCAGGGCCAGGCGGAGTGTCCACAATCTCGTGACGTAGTGGGAAGGCTTCCTGGGGCAGCATGTACTCCGGGTCCTCTGCTGCAAGGCAGAGACAGGGTCTGAGCCCCTGGCCCCACCGGCCAGCCCCGCCCCCAGCCCCGACTCACGGTGTGCATGCTCTGGGTCCAACAAGTACAGCTCATCCTCCTCGCCCTCCACGTCGCCCAGCAGGTAGTCTGCAGGCACGTCACTGCCCTCTGTCTCTTCGTTATCTGCCCATGACAGAGGTAGAGGACGTTCCAGAGAAGCTGATTCTGGGATGCCCTAGCCCCGCTCCATCAATGCTCTGTGCGCCACCCCCAGCCTACCCTCATTGGTGATGAGTGTGGCTGAGGAGTCAAGTAGCACCGTGTCGCTCCGTGTGTCACCCTTGCTACGGTCCAGCCTGGTCTCACTGCCCAACCCTGGGGCCATATCCTTCAGGTTGAAACTGGGGGCAGGGAAGGCCAATGGGTAGATGGGTTCCAACAGCCCCACCCTCTGAGGAGAGCCACCCCCAGATGTCTACCTGTTCATGAGTGGCAAGCCACAAGAGCTGCCCTTGCCCACGCTGTGGTTGAGGCTGGTGGCAGACGCCAGGCCAGGGCTACAGTAGATGATCCGCAGCATGGTCCAGGTCTGTGCTACCTAGGGACGGGCGCCAGGCACTCAAAAGGGGCCTGGGTTCCTGGCATGCCATGCACCCCCCTCCCCCACTCCTGGATGGAACCACAGACTCTCAAATGTTCAGCTTCCCCAGGCACCCAATATCCTGGTCCACCACAGCTGGGGAAACTGAAGTCTATGGCAAAGACAAAAATCTTAAGTCTGCCCTACAAGGGGATAGGAAGAAGCAGAAATTGGAGGCAGCCAACATGGAAATGAGCCTGTGGTCCCAGGAAGACAATGAAAAGCTATGTGGGCCTCTGTGAGTCAAACACCTCGGGAAATCCAAAAGCAAAAATGAGCCACAAGAGGGGGCTTCAAGCCTGCACCCCAGTGATGGCACTGGGTACCCTTAGGTACCAGGATGGTAGCCGCCAGAGCTCAGCACTGAACCCAGGGCAGGGTCTGGGTAGAGCAGTTGGGGGAGCCCCCAAGGTCATGGTCCCTGGGCCACCCCACCTACCTGGTTGCGGCCAAGCTCCCGAGCCACTTTGGCATTGTGGTCACAGAGCTCAGCCAGAGGCCGACCAGCCAGGGCATAACGCTCGGCGGTGTCCACGAACCAGCTCATGCTGCCACTGCCAGGCTCTATCTCAAAGACGCTGAGGGCACTGGACGCGAGGCCCACAAAAGGTTCGGCAGGGTCCAGCTTGCGCTTGAAGAAGATGGGGTGGCGCCGGTCACCGGCATAAGGCTTGCGCCCAGACTCGGTGGCCACTAGGCTCTCCTTAGCGGCGAAGGCCAGGTCCCCAAAGAGGCCATAGCAGAGGCCCTCGGGGTTAGCGCGCTCAACAGGCTGGCTGGCATCACGGAACAGGTGTTGGCACAGTGTACTGTCCTTAGAGCCCGAGAGCAGGAAGGAGGGGTCGTGTGGGTGGCGCCAGGCAATGCCCGTTGTGACGTCACGGTGCTCCTCGAACATGGCAGCTGGCACAAAAGGCCGGCGCACGTCCCACACATAGATGTTATGGTCCACCATCATGGAGCAGGTGGCCAGGTGGTGGCGGCACTCAGGCCGCCACTTGACGCGGGCTACTGAGGCAATGGTTTGCACACAGTGTACTTCCTTGGCACGGTGCGTGGTCATGTCCCAGACCTTCACCATCTTGTCACGCCCACCCGTGGCCAGCCAGCCCCTACAATAGATCCACGAAGCCCTCAGTGTCCTCTCCGGGGATGGGATGGCTCCCCACTCTCTGCCTCACAGGCCTGGAGGCAGCCCCTCCAGGAGCCCACCTGTCCCACCCTGCCGCCCGTGCCCCCACGCCATGCCACCCCACACCTGTCCTCAGGGTGCCAGTCGCAGCAGAAGACAGGCCCGTTGTGGGCGGTGAACATTCTCTCACAGCGGTCAGGCCTCCGGATGTCCCAGAGCTGCACGTTGCCATTCTCAAAGGTGGATGCGAAAGTGAAGTAGTCCCGGATGCTGAACTGGACGTCCCGCACGCTCTCCGACTGGCCTGTGGGCAGGATGTCAATGGGGGGAGAAGGTGAAGGGGCTCTGGGAGAGCAGCCAATGGTGGAACCCTTGGACAAACTGTGGACTGCGGTCACATGCCTGCCTGTGGCCAAGGTGGGGAGGCCTAGAAGGTGGGGTAGACACTGCTAAGCCTGCCCTGGGGTGGTGGGTGGCGAGGAGAGGCTTCACAGAGAAGACAGGGTAGATTAGGCCGGGAAGCAGGATACCAGGCACCGTGTAGTTTTTGAACCCAAAACCTGGACCTCGATCCTCCCCTGGATTGTGCTTTTGACATCAGTCCTTGCACAGAGCAGTGGCCCAGCTTCAGGACCGGCTATCAGAGCAGTGAGCAGAGAAGCCTCACTGTGCTACCTGTACGCACTCCCCTGAGGGAGGCCTAAGGAGGCCTGGATGAGGGTGCCCTAACTTCTACTCCATCCCTTCACCTTGAGCTGGAACAGCTGGGCCAGCCACACGGGACTGGAGACCTTAAAGATCTATGTTCACCTCCGTGGACCACCACCCAAGAGCCTTCAAGGACTCTAGCTTTTCCACAGCACAGGTAGTTCAGGGTCTGTCTTAAGAGGCCTCCAATTCTCTGAGGTGACTGAGGCTTCTGCCCCATGCTTTGTTTGGTCTCTTCAAGGTGCACAAGGAATAGCTGGCTCAAGGCCAGCTGCCAAGGAGCTGGGCCTGCTGGGAAAGGGTGCCAGGCAGCATACCCCACCTCCTCTCCAAACCTGAGCTGAGGACCCTGGAGGTCCCGGTGGGCTTCCTGCTGTGAAGTGGTCTGGAGCTCTGGGCAGCAAAACAAACCCTCTGCTCAGCAGCTCAGGTTGGCTGTAGTCTGCTCAGGCTCTGCCCTCTCCCTGGTCCCATATCGTGCCCCTCCCGTGCTGACCCTCACCCACTCTTCTAGTGCTCTCTGGGAGCATATCTGAAGATCTCTGATGCACACGACGCACTTCTCCACCTGCCCGACCCGCCTCCAGAGTCTCACCAGAGAAGGTGCTGACAGAGTCCTTCCTGCGGAGGTCAAAGCACTTCATGAAGCCGTCCTGGGAACCACTGAGCAGCACGTGGGCCTCAGTGGGGTGGAAGCAGACTTTGTTCACTGTGCGCTTGTGCTCCGTGAACAGCTGGTCCTGCTTGTTGCGGGATGGCCGGCCCAGGTTCCACGTGACCACCACGCCATTGGTGGCCGCCGTGGCCAGCAGGTTCTCGTCCATCTGGTGCCAGACTACATCCGCGCAGCTCAGGTTGAGTGAGGGCTTGCGGCCCACACGGAGGTTCAGCTTCTCCACAAACTGCTCGTCTTCAATGGCATAGATCTTGAAGATGCTGCGGCCTGCCACGACCACCTGAGCCGCATCACGGCACACGCTGATGGCATTGGCTGGTGCATCCAGGTGGCAGTGCATAGTGCGGCCCGTCAGCGCGCTGCCACCCAGGGCCGTGGTCACTCGGGACATCTTCTCCATGGCTGCACGGGAGGTGGGGACACGAGGTCGGTGAAGTGGGCTGGCCTGGTCAGCCTGGGGGGGCCAGTCAGTTCAGACCCTTCACCCTGGTTGGGGCCCCCAAAATTGCTTCGTCCTGGGCGGGTCAGTCTGGGTGAGCCTGTCCAGAACAGTTCGCTGCTAGTCAGTGAGGAGGAGACATCGCTGCCCCGGAGCTCAGCCGGCCAGTCTGCCTTCCCGGGAGACCCTACCTGGTCAGTCCCAGCCCGGGCCACCGCTCCATCCCCCGAACAGATCTGGGCGGTCACTAGCTGGGCTTTCGGCCAGTCAGTCCCTGCAAGGAAGCGAGGGAATCCCTCCCAGTCCACACAGGGCGTCCCGGGGCCTCCAGGGAGGGGCAGAGGGGCGCGGGGGACACACACTGACGTCAAGGGCCGAGCTGTTTAGGGAGCTTGAGGGCACTGGGCGGGCGCGCCGGACGAGAGGCCGGCGGCACGGAGCACTGAGAGCGGCGACCGCCGGGGAGCGGAGGCGACGGGAACGCGGCCCGAGGGCTCCGAGAAGCCTCTCCCTTCGTGGGCACCAGAACCATCTCCTAAAATTGCCGGGCCGGGCCTGGCCGGAACCGCCGCGCCGGAAACAGCCCTTCTCTTTCCCGTTCCCCGCCTCCCTGCTCGCCGGAAGTGGTCCCTTCTTGCCAGCCTCTCACCAGAAGCGGGCACCCACACCGCAAGCGTTCCGGCTCAGGGAGCTGAGTTGGGGGAGGCGGAGGTAGAGGCGCTGCGCTGGGCTCCCCCCGTCCCGCCTCTGCGGTTGGCCTTTTTGCCACAGTGTTTTCATACTCCTGCGCATCTCTCCCCCAGCAAGTCCAGCCACCCCTGACGAGTCCAAATCCCTCCAGTCGTCTACCCTGGTTCCTCTGATGGGAACCCCGCAGCCTGCGCTGCGCCTGTCCCGGCGCCCAGGAAGCTCATTTTTCTCTTCTGGCAGAGTGGGCTAGATCTTTTCTTTTCAGATTTTATTTGAGTGAGAGAGAGCGCGGGCATGACTGGGGAGGGGCCAGCCGACTCCCGGCTGAGCAGGGAGCCCGATGTGGGGCTGGATACCAGAATCCTGAGATCATGACCTGAGCGGAAGGCAGCCGCTTCACTGACTGAGCCACCCAGGCGCCCCAAGAAGCTGGATATTTTGAGGTTAATATTATATGTACTGGCTTTAGCTTCATTCACTTCCCCCATAGGCAATGAAGGGTTAAGGACCTTCTGGGTTGGTCATTGCTGTGTTTCCAGTCTGGTACGTGGCACGGCCTGTACGTGTTGAAAGAACCAGTAAGTCTGATGAGTGGAGAGGTGCACAAGAATCCAGAGCCTGGGGCCGCCCAGAGCAGATACACCTTCCCTTGCCATGGTCTCATGACCTAAAAACAACTCAGACGCGTGTTTTTACAACTTTTTTAATATATATTTTTATAAACAGGTCACGTGATAAAATAGCACAAGAAACACTTACCAAATATAAGGTTATATCTTCCGCATATACAGGAGAATGAGGTCGTTATGTACAATAAGAAAATGGTTTTAGGGGTTGGTTGGTTTTGTTTGTTTTCCTCTCTCCCCTTAATGTTTCCTCCTACATCGTTGGAAATATCACAGCTTCAGTTGCATTAATACTTTGGACAAATGGACAGCTGCCTCCTCCCCACTAGGGAGCTGTGAGGAGGAGGGGCTGAAGAAACTGGCTCCTAACCACCTCAGCCCCGGAGCCTCCTGCGGGCACTCCAGGACAGGGAAATCTTTGGGCTGTTGAACTCTTTCTCTGCTTCAACAGCATCTCTCGCTCGCTCGTGCGCTCTCGCTCTCTCGCTCTCTCTCACTCTCTGGCTCTCTGGAAACTGGTTACTTTCTTCCAACCAGATGGGGGGTGTCCCAAGATTGGGTGTGGGCACTGTACTTCCTGGGGCTCCAAGGTTGGGATGGGAAGGGGTCCCAGCCCCCTCCTCAGCAATTGCCAAGATGTGCCAGCATCCCCCCAGGACTCACATGTGTCTTGGGATTGGACAGAACATGGCCAGAGCCCCTTTGGGCAGGCAGAGGTTTGGGAAGCTGGGGAGGGGAGGGGGGCAGCTCGAAAGGAGCCCTCCCTCCCTCTGATGCTGAGGGTGTGCTGGCCACTTGTAAGACTGGACTTGCCTGCTGGCACTGATCCTGTCTTGGCTGGGCCCGCTTGTCCAGCTTCCACCTGACAGAGACCCGCCCGGGGTGCAGTGTGGCACTGAGGAGGCTAGGCCCTGGTGACTACAGGGGCTGTGGTGTGGGGTCCACTCAGGACTGCGTGCAAGGCCTGCGGGGCCTGAGGGTCGCTCCAGCTTGTGGTCTCTCAAGGTGGTTGTCTTCACCCCCCCCCCCCCCCCCCCCCCGCAGCTGAGGTAAGCTACAGCCGGCTGGGTTAATGTTGATTATAGCAAGATGGTGGTCAGCCAGTCTGTCCCTCCCTCAAATAGTTCTTCCCTAGCCTGGCCCAAGGACCTGTAGGCCTGCAGGTGGGGGTGGGGCGAGCAGGGGGCTGCCTCACACGGGGGCAAGGAAAAGGGGAGGTCTCTTGGGTCAGGCTGGCATGAGCTGGGGCAAGGGCGGGTGGGACTTGGGCTCCTTGGCGGGCCATGGCTTTGGCGGTGGCCTGTTCCCCCTCGCACCCCTCCGAGGGCTCCAGGCGTGGTGCAGTGGAAGATGCGGGAAGCCCTTGGGGCTCTTCTGGCCCCTGTGTCCTGGGGGACCCAGCTCCCCTCAATCCCTCTGGGCCCTGCCCGAGATGGGGGGACAGCGGGGAGACAGAGCGGGGTGTGGCGGGAAAGGCGGTAAGGGGGGCCGTCAGGAGAGCTCAAAGCGCCCCCCTAGAACCGAGCCCCGCCCCCCGCCCCCTCCCCCAGCGGGCGGACGAAAGATGGAGGCGGCTGTGGTGCGGTGGAGGGCGGGCGTGCAGTGCGGGCACGAGGGGCATGCACAGAGTCCCCGAGTGTGCGTGCGTGCGAGGGGCTGGGCCCGCCCGCCGCCCCTCCCGGCCCGGGCGGGGCCAGGAGGGGCGCGGGGCGGGGCTTTCACTGGGTTCGCCCTGCCTCCCTCGCTGGGCCGCGGGCGCGAGGGCTGCCCTGAGGGCAGGGCCGGGAGAAGGCGTCCCCGCCGGGAGCGTGGCGGCTTCCTGCGCCGGGGGCGGGGAGGCCCGCGCTACTCGATGACGAGACAGCGGGGCAGGTGCTGCGAGAAGTACTTGAAGAGCTCGGGGGTGGCCCCGGGGCAGTTGGTCAGCTCCAGCTCCTCGAGTTCCTGCAGCTGCACCAGGCCAGATAGCCCCGTGGTGGTCAGCAGCGGGCAGCCTGCAGCGGGCGGGAGGCGGGGCGGCGGCTGAGCGCGCGGGGGCCAGAGGGCAGCGCGAGGGTGGGGCCGGGCTAGGCGGGGCTCGCCCGGCGTCTCCGTCTGGACCGGGGCCGGGGACCCCGGGACTCAGCGCCAGGTATGAATCAGTGCGAGGGACCCGGCAGGACTGGCGGAGTCGGAGTAGGTGGGGGTGGGGTGGGGTGGGGTGGGGTCTCACCTGCCAGAGACAAGAGACGCAGACTCCTCATGGCCAGGAGGTGCTTCAGCCCGAAGTCCTGCACCTGGGCGGGAGGGCGGGGCGGGTTAAGGACCTCCGCTCGCGCCCTGGGGGAGCCCACTGCTGGGGTCAGGCCTTAGACCTGGAGCTGCTGGAGGGGCAGGGGGCGGGGTTCAAAACGGGGGTTTCTCGGCTTCCCAAAAAGCCAGGAGGCAGCTGGAGAGTGGCGGTGAGGACCCCGGGGTGGGTGTGGAGGGATCCCATACTTCCTCGCGGGATCTGAGGGCGCCGGCGGCAGGTCAGCGGATTGTGTGCGCGGGAGCTTTGCCCGAGTCCCCCACCTCCCCTTGCCTACTCCCCAATCTTCGGAGGCGGGGAAGGCCGGTACCTGGCAGCACCATCGCAGGTAGAGGCTGCGGAGGGAGGACATGGTGGACAAATAGCTGAGGCCAGTATCCGTGATGCGTACACACCTGTGGGGGCAACAGAGGGGCGCTGCCCACCTTCAGAACACCTCGCCCCGCGCGTCAGCCCCGACCCCTTCCTCCTTTTCCCAGGGCATCCCCTCCGGCAGCACTTAGGATAATTCCTCCCTTTGCACAGCCTCCCCCCAGCCAGGCTCCGCCCCTTACCCAGGTGCTTGGCGGTTACAGCCCATTCTAGGTCCGGGGCTTCTGAGGGCCCGCCCCTCAACCCCCTCCCCGGGGCTCCGCAGCTACAGGTCTGTCCGTTAATCTAGGCTCCCTGCTTAGAAGGTCTTGCCGGCCTTGCCCCGCCCCGCCCCGGTCCTGCCCTCCAAGTGTCCCCTGGGTGGGGGACGCGCGCACCTGTCCAGCACCAGCTCCTCCAGGCGGTGCAGGTCGCAGGCCACGTACTCGAGCGCCATGTCGGTGATGCGCGGGCACCACGAAAGGTCGAGGCTGCGCAGCTTGCGCAGGTTTTCGGCCACGAGCTCGACACCGTCGTCGGTGACCTTGGAGCAGCCGGAGAGGCTGAGCGCGGTGAGGTTGGGCAGGCTGTGCACCACGTTGACCACGCCGTGGTTGGTGATCTCCCAGCAGGAGAGCAGGCGCAGAGTGTGCGTGCTGTGGCCCTGGCGTGCTGTGAAGTAGGCCAGCGCCGTGTCCGTCACGTGGTAGGCCTGCAAGCTCAGCTCGGCCAGGTTGGGCAGCAGCTGCGAGATGGCCGCAATGGCGTCGTCGGCCACGTTGATGCAGTCGCTGACGCTCAGCGAGGTGATGCGCGCGCTCAGGCTGGACCACAGCCCTGCCTCGGTGAAGTCATTGCAGCCCGACAGCTCGAGGCGCACGACGCCCTGCATCTGCTCCAGCATCACCTGCAGGCGGGCAGGCGGCAGGGCGTGGTGAGGGTGGCAGGAGCCCACTGAGGGGCAGGAAGCAGGGTTCTCGAACGTAGACGTGTGTAAAACATGCACCAAGCTGCGCCGTGACAAGTGCACTTTACAGTGTGTTTGTCACCTCACAGCAACATTCTAAGAGGCAGAGCACAGGGGAGCGGGGAGCTCAGGGCCTTCCCAGAGCAGGTGCTGGGGGAGCAGTTGGTGTTATGATTTGATGGTTAGAGTCCTGGCCCTGGGGAAGGGGCTGCCAGCACAGCTGCTCCTCTGACCCGTGCACCTGCTCCCCCACAGCGCCCTCCCCACCCAAGGCTGGCCTCACAGGCATGTAGGGCCCTGAGCTTAGAAGAGCCTCCCATTTGATTGATTGCTTTGATGTTGCTGTCTTGAAATTCTTAGTCATCTTTGAACAAGGGACTTGAATTTTTCATTCTGGACTGGGTCCCCCAAATTATGTAACCAGTCCTGCTTCCCCTCACCCCTGAGCCACGATCCTCAGAGCACTGGTGCTTCCCTCAGCTACTTTGCTCCTCATATGCCCAAGTTCCCTCTGGGGGCAGCCCTTCCCCCCCACACACACACACCAGCTCAGGTGCAGCTGCTTGGCCCTGCCCACCCCATCCCTGTCCCTTCCAGGCCAACGGTGGGGCGCACCTCCAGGCCAGCATCCGTGATGGTGGAGCGCTTGAGGCTCATGGCCTTGACACCC